CTAGAATGTCAGTGTTTTTGCTCCTAAGTGAGCGTGGGAGGTACTTTGGTCCGAGTGTCTGCGCCCTGCAGGCCTGACTATTTGTGACTTTGGCTGCCAGACGTCACTCATGGTTGGCGGAGGAAAGAGGAAGCGGCGAGCGGCGGTGCCAGCCCACCCCGTGCCTGAACCCGCTAACACTGTAAACAACGGGCTTCGGGCGGTGACTCGCACGGAGCACTTAGGGCCTGCCAGGACGCGTTCTTGCTGGGGCTCATTCTCCCGGCCTTACTGGCCTGGGAGGGCCGGTGTTTATGAATGAGTTCCGGCTTCCTGTGGACGGATTGCATCTGGACTTGGGGGAGCCCGAGGTCCGGGGTGGGGTTCTGCACGGTGGTGTGCTTCCTCGGAGGGAGCCCAGTGAGCCGTGCGGCCCCTCAGGTGTGGGGTGGGGGCCGTGGACAGGAGAGCTGGCTCAGGAAGGCAGGGAGGGCCGAATTCTGACTCACTCACTGGGCTGCAGGCAGAGCTGAGGGGTCACAGGTCTCAGCGGCCCCTCTCCCCTCCTCTCACCATCGGAACGTGGAAGCAAGGCCAAAACACAAACAGCAAAAACAAACAAACAAGACAACAAGAAAAACCTGGGCACTGGTGGTGGGAATGCAACACGGGGCAGCCGCTGCGGAAAACGGAATGATGGATCCTCAGAAAGTTAAAAGTAGAGTTACCATGTGACCCTGCGATTCCACCTGTGGGTGTATGCCCCCCCCCAAAAAAAAAAAAAAAAACCCAAAAACGCAGAGAGCAGGGACGCACACAGATACCTGCACACCCATGTTCACAGCAGCAGCATTCGCAACAGCAAAGGTAGATAGAGCCCAAGTGCTCATTGAAAGGGAGTGAGGAAACAGAAGGCAGCGTGGGCATAGCGTGGAGCCGTACTCCGCCTGCCCAGGGAAGGACCTTCTCACACACGTGACAGCATGGCCGAGCCTGAGGACCTTACACTAGGCTACATAAGCCGGTCACAAAAGACAGGTACTGTCCGTCTCCGCTTGTATGAGGGACCTAGAATAGTCAAAGTCCTAGACACAGCAAGTAGAATGGGGGGTGTCGGGGGCCGGGGGGACAGGGCATGGGGAGTAGTGTTTTCTGGGGACGGAGGCTTTCAGTTGGGGAAGATGAAGAATTCTGGAGATGGATGGGGGTGCTGGTTGTAGAACAATGTGAATGTGCTTTATGCCAGAGAACAGTGCACTTAGGAATGGCCAACACGGTGAACTGCATGTTATGTACACGAAGTGACAGCAAGGAACACCCCCTCCACCACCATCACTGCAGTGCCAGGCCTTGTGTCTTAGGGAGGAGAGGACAGGGAGGTGGCCTTGACTGAGGGTCCCAGTCTTCTGGGGACTGAGAGGTTGGGAGTGAGTCTCAGGGATTTGAGGAGGGGAGGGCATGGAGCGAGAACACCAACACTTCCTTCCTCAGGCTGGCTTTGGGCAGGCCGCTTCCCCGTGGGGACCTCAGTTTCCTCACCTGTGAAATGGGGAGGTAGCATTCACTCATTCCTTCCGGAAGAGTACTGTACCCACTTTCAGCCTGAGGTCCGGCTCGGGGGCCACAGGGCCAGTGGGAGCCAAAACAGGCCACAGGTTGTGGGGGGAGGGGCCCTGGTTGGCAGGTGATGAGATGTGGGTTGGAGAGTCCCAGCTTGACTGTGGTGAAGAGAGAGCAAAGGGCAGGCGTGATCCGGTACTGCCACACCCCTCATTCGGGCCACTCTTTCAGCATCTGCAGCCGTGTAGACCAGGGGTCGGCAAACCGCGGCTCTCGAGCCACATGCGGCTCTTTGGCCCCTTGAGTGTTCTAATGCCGCTTCTTCAAAATAGACTCGCCCAGGCCGAAAACCGACTTCTGCGCATGGGCCACGAAGTTTCAATCGCACTGTGCGTGCGTTCCTGCACGTGACATTTTCTGGGAGAGCCACACTCAAGGGACCAAAGAGCCGCATGTGGCTCACGAGCCACGGTTTGCCGACCACTGGTGTAGACCATGCATTCTCAAGGGGGAGAGGGGTGAAGGTTGGTTCTTGGGTGGGGTGAAAAAACATCTTAGATATTAAATGATTATTAGTCTTAGGTATTAAATGGTTTGTCACCCCCAAGGGCACAGGACATAAACAGATATGCAGTATACCTGAGGTAGTATTTCATGGAGCCGGGGTGTAGGGGGACATGTCTTAAAATTAGGCTCCTTGGGAGGGTGATGGGGGGAGGGGAGAGAGGTTGAAAAAGATCCTGATTTAGACGCAGCCAGATTTTTCATCTGAACCAGAAGCATTAAATCAACAGAGAGGCTTAAACCTTTGGTTTTGATATATTACTAATTTGTAAAGTGGGCTTACAACAAAAAAAAATGTTATTCTGTCTTAATTCCAATGTATTTGCACATGCAGGATTTTCTTTCAGTTCTCAATAACAGGCGCGTTTCACTAACGTAAGACTCCCATCTTTTACTCCACCTCCCGGCCGCAAGAGACACAGCGCCGAGATGCGCACTTTGGCATCCGTCGCCTTCCGTGGCCCTCATCCTCATCCCGAGGACAGGCGTTTCTACTCCCACTTTACAGAGGCGGAAACTGAGGCTCCGAAAGGGTGAATGACGCGTAGGCGGCTGGCCCTGGCCTCATGCTCATGTCTGTCTGTCTGTCGGTGCCTGGTGCTGCGCTGACTCCCACGTGGGTCCCCAAGCTCCTTGGACGAGAGGAGGGTCCACACCCGCTGACAAACACCCAGGAATCCAGGCAGTGCCCGGGGGAGCTCAGACTCCGTTTCTCGCCCGAGCACTGTGGGAGGTGGGATGTGGGCAGGGATGGGCCCCTTCTGTGCTGCCTGGCGAGGGCCCCAGGAGGGCAGTGGCCTCCACGTGGACTGAGCTGGCCCGTTGCCGTGAGCAGGTAGGAAGGACGCCAGTGGTGCTGGATGCTGGGGGAGGCCGTGGCTGGGCCCTCGCTGTTCCTTGGAGAGCCGGGCTCGGGATGGGCTGTGCCATGGGGACCGGGAGCATAAGTGAGGGAGCAGCTGGGGAGGGAGGACGGGGAGACATACATGGCGTTCAGAGGTCCTAGTGGAGCTGGAGTTGGTTGGCCGGTCACTGGTTCTCAACTTTCCGAACGCCTCGGCCTTTGAATACGGCTCCTCATGGGGTGGTGACCCCCGACCAAAAAATTATTTCCGTTGCTACTTCATAGCTGTCATTTTGCTCCTGTTGATGAATCGTAATGTAAGTAGCCGTGTTTTCCGATGGTCTTAGGTGACCCTGCTAGCGGTTCTTTTACTCCATGTCTTAGGCGACCCACAGGTTGAGAACCGCTGCTGTAGAGCCTGAGACCATCGGAAAACACAGCTATTTACATTACGGTTCATAACAGCAAAATTACAGCTATGAAGTAGCAATGGAAATAATTTTATCGTCGGGGGTCACCACCACATGAGGAGCTGTATTCAAGGGTCGCGGCATTAGAAAGGTTGAGCATCACTGCTCTAGGTTCAGTGAGGCCCTTTGAACAGCGCCAGACACACAGTAGGTGCCATAGACATGTCAGCTGCTCTACAGCGTCAGAGACACAGTAGGTGCTATAGACATGTCAGCTGCTCTACAGTGTCAGACACACAGTAGGTGCCATAGACATGTCAGCTGCTCTACAGCGTCAGACACACAGTAGGTGCCATGACATGTCAGCTGCTCTACAGCGTCAGACACACAGTAGGTGCCATGACATGTCAGCTGCTCTACAGAGTCAGACACACAGTAGGTGCCATGACATGTCAGCTGCTCTACAGCGTCAGAGACACAGTAGGTGCCATAGACATGTCAGCTGCTCTACAGCGTCAGACACACAGTAGGTGCCATGACATGTCAGCTGCTCTACAGCGTCAGACACACAGTAGGTGCCATGACGTGTCAGCTGCTCTACAGCGTCAGACACACAGAAGGTGCCATAGACATATCAGCTGCTCTACAGCGTCAGACACACAGTAGGTGCCATGACATGTCAGCTGCTCTACAGTGTCAGACACACAGTAGGTGCCATGACGTGTCAGCTGCTCTACAGCGTCAGAGACACAGTAGGTGCTATAGACATGTCAGCTGCTCTACAGCGTCAGACACACAGTAGGTGCCATAGACATGTCAGCTGCTCTACAGCGTCAGACACACAGTAGGTGCCATGACATGTCAGCTGCTCTACAGCGTCAGACACACAGTAGGTGCCATGACATGTCAGCTGCTCTACAGCGTCAGAGACACAGTAGGTGCCATAGACATGTCAGCTGCTCTACAGCGTCAGACACACAGTAGGTGCCATGACATGTCAGCTGCTCTACAGCGTCAGACACACAGTAGGTGCCATGACGTGTCAGCTGCTCTACAGCGTCAGACACACAGAAGGTGCCATAGACATATCAGCTGCTCTACAGCGTCAGACACACAGTAGGTGCCATGACATGTCAGCTGCTCTACAGCGTCAGACACACAGTAGGTGCCATGACATGTCAGCTGCTCTACAGCGTCAGACACACAGTAGGTGCCATGACGTGTCAGCTGCTCTACAGCGTCAGACACACAGTAGGTGCCATAGACATGTCAGCTGCTCTACAGCGTCAGACACACAGTAGGTGCCATAGACATATCAGCTGCTCTACAGCGTCAGACACACAGTAGGTGCCATAGACATGTCAGCTGCTCTACAGCGTCAGACACACAGTAGGTGCCATAGACATATCAGCTGCTCTACAAGTCAGACACACAGTAGGTGCCATGACATGTCAGCTGCTCTACAGCGTCAGACACACAGTAGGTGCCATAGACATGTCAGCTGCTCTCCTTCTAAGCCTTTCCCGCCTTTGACTTTCAGAAGCTCACCTGCCGCCGAGGAGGGCAGCCCTGTGAACGCCATGGCGGCGGAGAGGCCCGCTTCCTGAGCCGGGCGGGGTGAGGCGCCTGCGGGCCCGAAGAAGATGGGGAACGTCACCGCGGACGCCTCCCGCCCCAACTGCACCATCGAGCACACCATCCACCAGACGCTGGCCCCCGTGGTGTACGTCACCGTGCTGGTGGTGGGCTTCCCGGCCAACTGCCTGTCCCTGTACTTCGGCTACCTGCAGATCCGGGCGCGGAACGAGCTGGGCGTGTACCTGTGCAACCTGACGGTGGCCGACCTCTTCTACATCTGCTCGCTGCCCTTCTGGCTGCAGTACGTGCTGCAGCACGACAACTGGTCCTACGGCGACCTGTCCTGCCAGGTGTGCGGCATCCTGCTCTACGAGAACATCTACATCAGCGTGGGCTTCCTCTGCTGCATCTCCATCGACCGCTACCTGGCCGTGGCCCACCCCTTCCGCTTCCACCAGTTCCGCACCCTCAAGGCCGCCGTGGGCGTGAGCGTGCTCATCTGGGCCAAGGAGCTGCTGGCCAGCGTCTACTTCCTCCTGCACACCGAGCTGGTGGAGGACGCCGACCGGCACCGCGTCTGCTTCGAGCACTACCCGCTGCAGCCCTGGCAGCGCCACATCAACTACTACCGCTTCCTCGTGGGCTTCCTGTTCCCGCTGTGCCTGCTGCTGGCCGCCTATCGGGGCATCCTGCGCGCCGTGCGCCGCAGCCACGGCACCCAGCAGAGCCGCAAGGACCAGATCCAGCGGCTGGTGCTCAGCACCGTGGTCATCTTCCTGGCCTGCTTCCTGCCCTACCACGTGCTGCTGCTCGTGCGCAGCGTCTGGGAGTCCAGCTGCCTCTTCGCCCAGCGCGTCTTCAACGCCTACCACTTCGCCCTGCTGCTCACCGCCTTCAACTGCGTGGCCGACCCCGTGCTCTACTGCTTCGTCAGCGAGACCACCCACCGCGACATGGCCCGCCTGCGCGCCACCTGCCGCGCCATCCTCGCCTGTGCCAGGACCGGCGGGCCCCGCGAGGCCTACCCGCTGGGCACCCCAGAGGCCTCCGGGGCCAAGAGCGAGGAGCCCGAGCTGCTCCGAAAGCTCCCAGGCCGATGTCTGTGGCCCTTAACAGTCAGCGCTGAAGCACAAGTGTCAGGACAGAGGCCTTGAAGCCCAGGCGTGTAATCACATTCCCCACATGGTTCCTCCGCTTCAGTGTTTCCATCGGCCCAGGAGCGCCAGCCCTGGGAGAGTGTGTGTGTGTGTATGTGTGTGTCCATGTGTCCATGTTTAAAACGCCAGGGTGTCCATGACAGCTTTGTGCCAAGACCCTGAGGCTAGGGTCGCCTATTGGCAGTGTTCCCCACGCTCACCCCGGCCTCTGCCTCTGTCCCTTGCTGTACCCACTACAGAATGTCTAACAGTCCCAACGGTCTGAGCATGACATTCTCCTGAGTTCTCAGATGCAACAAAACAGAACAGATGCATTCCCCGGCATCTCTCAGTCTCTGTAACGGAGAGAGGAGGTGCCCTGGGCTGCCCTCGCCTCCTTTGTTCTCCTGCACGGCTCCGCCAGCCTCCCCCTCCCCCACCTTAGCCCCCTGAAGCGTGGGCCCACGGGCCACATGCAGCCCAGGGTGCTGCCCGCCGCCCTCTGTCCTGTCAGGCTCGGCTCCCCTGCAGCTCTGCCAAGCATGCTGAGCCCCTGCCCTGGCAGTCACACCAAGGACCTGGAGAGCTTCCTATGGCTCCAGGGACCTGCCCACGTGAACAGGTGTGCCAGCCCTTCAGAGGGCCTGGCTGATGGCTGGGGCCAGCTCTCGCGTCCCTGGGATGCGAGTTCCTCACAAGGGGACAGGTGGGCTCAAGTCTGGGGAGGGACTCAGGACAGGGAGATGGAAGCTGGTGCCGGTAGAACAGTTGTGGAATCTAATAAAAGCATCTTTGAACTTTCTCTCCCTTACCTCCACCCCCTCCCCTACCAGGCATGCCAAAGGCAGATAGTCCGAGCGGGAATGCCCTAGGGAAGTGGGGTCCGGGGCTACACTTGGCTCTGACTGAGCAGCACTGGCTCCAGCCCCAGCTCCTTATGGAGGGTCTCCCATCACCTAAAGAGGTCTCTTTACCTTCCTGCAGCTGTGAAGGTGGCAGAAATGGCTACAGCACCAAGAAAAGCCCGGCCGCCTGCCCCAGCCCAGCATCCTCCTGGGACAATGGCACCTGCCGAGTCCTCCGTGCCTCCTCATTCCCTATTCTTCCCTGTTTTGACCTTAAACACCAGTGCTCTCCCACCAGTAATGGACTGGGGAGAGCCAGGGTGATTCTGTTTACTACCCAGAGTTGTATTTTCGTAGTGTCCTCTCTCTTATGTCCAGTATGTGTGTGTTGGGCTGCGCAGTGGATCTATGTAGCAAATGTGAGTTTGCCAATAAAACAGAATAACCAGCCCCAGCTGGAGTGTGCTGCCATCCTTGAGGGTATGGAGGGGCTTTGAAACACCCCGTGGAGGTGGGAAGGTGGAGGGATTGGCTTGCTCACAGGGAACGTGGCTATTGAAGAGTTGCCCTTGGTGACCCCGTAGTGTCAGGGAGGGATGGAGCCCTCGAATGAAGTAGGTCTTCTCTCCCTGCTCTTGAGAGATTCATGAAGTGTCCTCGGCCCTTCAGCTCTTGTTGCAGATCCACTCTGGGACTTAACCTTGGCCACCTCCCCTTGGCGGACAGAGCCCAGCCCTGTGGTTTGGAGGATATCACTCCTCCTTCTTTGGACACATGACCCCTGCTGAGAGCTGCTTCCCCACGGAGAGGGAGGGCTGGTCAGCCCGGCCACCCTCGCTGGGGAAGATTACAAAGCAGGAAGGCCCGTTGGAGTCATCTCGCCGGGCTGTCCTCCCCACTCCGGCTGCGGTGGGAGGCCACATCTGTTGGCCAGGCCAGAGCATCTTCTCCGTAGGGGCCGGCTCCGTGTTTATGACTGAGGATTAACGCATCCTATTAACATGGACATCCAGTTTGAGTCACTTAATCCCTCTCGGGGTCAGATTCCCGGAGTCCTGGAGTGTTTTTTGGAAGGGAGGGCATGGTGGGAGCTGAAGATTCCTTGCTCTCCTGAGAGAATGGGTGGAGGACAAGGTCCAGCTGGGATGGACTGGAGGTGGCAGACGCCACCTGCTTCCTTCCTGTTTCACCAGAGGCTTAGCAAGGGGAGGCTCATCTTCCTGTTTACGCACAGTGGTCTGCAGGGCGGCCAGACGAGGGTGGCAGACGTCCCCAGCACAGAACACCCCCCCATCTGCTTCTTTCCTCTGACTGGTACCACCAAGGGAGAACCAACTTGGGTCAGTGCTTTTCAGAAAAAAATTGCTTCTTACAGCTGGTGATCCTGCATCTCCAGGACCTCCTCCGGCAAGACAGCGGTCTTGGGTGGCCGCCTCCCTGGGGTCACAATGGTGCCCAGTGCTCTGGGGAAATGGTGGGCCTTCCAGTCCATTTGCTCCAACTCAACCACTCTCAGAAGGACCCTATGAGATTAGACATTTGCTATCCGTGCTGGAGTGCACCGATGAATTATTCCATGTATGTCCCCCAAAACGATGGTCCAATTTTCAACAAATACCACCAGGGACACTAATTTGCTACTACCCAACACAAGTCACTACAAGGTTGGGAAGGAAATCTTAATTCCTGATGAGGCAAAGTGGAACCACTTTGCCCACCTGCCTTCGTTCTGGCCTCCGGAACGAAGGGACCCTACAGGCAGTGTGTTAAGCCAAGCAGTATTTACCTGCCAAACCATGGTGCCGTAAAGCCACAAGCAGCTGTTTCTTTGACCGGGTATCCCCAAGTGATGGCAGCGATTCATAAGGTCATCTCAAGAGGTGCCATGTCTTCTGGGGTGAGGGTGGGGAGTCTTCGCTTTCATCCGCACAGGGAGGGGAAGGTGCACAAGTAGAATCTCACCGGGGGTTGGTGGCCAAGTCTGGAAATGGTTGATATTTCTGCCACTCACACTCCATTGGCCAGATCCCAGCCATAGGGCCCCAACCTCATGGCAAAGGACGCTGGGAAATGTAGTTTTCCTATGTATGCAGGAAGAGAGAGCGGGATTGGTGAGCATCCTGTTAATCTCTAACAGACAGCTCTTCAAGCCACTTCCACTTAATGGGGTATAAACACTTCCCTTTCTGTTAACGCATGTGAACAAAACCCACTTCTTCAGAGGCAATGCTTGGATTGGAAGTGGGACCAAGTCTGTCTGACTTGCGCCCAGGAGAAGGGGACCATGTATCTGCCTCACGGTGCTTCTATGGACACACAGTATTTTGGGGAATGGGACATCACATTGCTGACAGAGATTGAGTTTGTGCGAACAGCAGGTAAACCTCATCTTCTCCACCCTGCCCCGAGCAGTGGTCTTTTGAATCTGAGAGTTTGACCTCGTTGTGGAGCCAATAGAACCCACATGGAATGGGTAGAAAGTAGGAGAATGCCAGGAGCTGGACGAGGTAGGGCTGTGGCCAGCAGGGCCTGTGCCATGAACAACAGGAAACGACCTCAGAGCAGTACCTGGCTCAGCTGAGTGAGGTCCACTTGGCCAGGGGACAGACAGGGGGCTAAGAAGCCCTGCCCCCCCTTAGCTGGTTTGCTTGCCCTCAAGTCTCAGCAGCAGGGGGGTGGGGCATGGGCACCTTAATGTGCCTGCCCTTGAACACCCACAGAGCATCCCAGACACTGTCTCCCTGGATCCCCCGAGCCCCGCATTCTTTGAAATGCCCAGGGAATGCTCACATGCCCGAGTCTCTCCTGGTTGAGACCCCAGTCCACCTCCAGCCCCACCATACAAGGACAAGGTCACCTCTCATCCCCGGGAACCAGCTGCTCCAGGCTGCAGCCACGCCCCTTCACATATGGACACAGCCCCATCCCCAAAGCACAGCCACAACCAGAACAAACCCGAACAGAACTTGACTAAAGGCCTGAGTAGGAATCATACGGTGGGAAAGCATTAAACTGGATCCTAGAACTCAGAGCACCAGTGGTCCCGGGGCGGGCCCCACTAGGGCGCCTCCTGCTGGCTGCCCTCACACCCTGGCCCCTGCGGCCAGGCTTTGGGCTTCGGGCCTGCCTCTCCCTGCAGAGGGGCTGGAGACGCCTCACTCCAGAGTGAGGACCCCTACTTTCCGGCTCCTCTGGGCTCCCCTGGTCTGAGCCTTTCCCCCAAACAGCTGAATCCCCTCCCCATGAACTTCTGCCCACAGCGAAGACAGCCCAGTCCACAGCCACACCTCAGCCGTCCCTGCGCTGTCGGCACAGAGCTCCACTGCCGTTACGAAACCAAAGCACGTCTGCGGCTCCCCCACATGAGTCAGAGACTGCCGGCAGCTTGGCCGGGGTGACGTTTCTCTCTTCTGGCCACCAAGGTTTCAAAGCTGCAGGGTGCCCTCTTATAAAACCCCCTGTCACAGGGAGCTCTGAGCCTCAAACCAGGGGCAGACATGTCACTAGAGGAGAGCTGGCCAGGGAAGCTTACCGCTGGGGCGGGTCCGGGAACCGTGGTAAGCTGTGGGCTGGAGGGACTGTGAGCTCATCACAACGGGGCGCACTGGCCCCGAAGCCACAGGGCAGGAGCACATTCTGCACCTGGGGACTCCCCGCCAGAATGACAAAGGGAGGTCTGGACCCCCCACCCCAGGTATGTCTGGCCAGCGGCTCCACCACGCCCCTATGGGGGGAGCACAGGCGTTAACCCCAGATCACTCACTGGACACGGAGGCTTTTCTGCGGAGTGCATAACTAGGGGTAGTAGTTTCTACAGCACGTGTTCCATTCTTTCCAATCAACGCCCCATACAGACGCAAGCTAGACATGTTCAAGGAAATCAACTGGACCGTCAAACCTCAGAGGGAAGGCAGGGGAGGGGGGGTAAGAGATCAACCAAAGGACTTGTATGCATGCACATAAGCATAACCAATGGACACAGACAGTAGGGGGGAGGGCATGTGTTGGGGGTGGGAGCAGCCAGGGAGAGGACAATGGGGAGGGGGGAGAGGAGACATATGTAATACTTTCAACAATAAAGAATTTAAATAAAATAAAATAAAATAAAAAAAAACTAAACAGGCTCAGTTAGCATCCGGGACTCTAGCTGGGAAGCAGGTCACCCGCTCACCGCCCCCGCCCCGTCTGGATGAGTCAGCACGAAACACCACTGGCTGGTCCAATAGGTACGTGTAAAGGGCTGTGGTCAGTGACTCGTTTCTGATTTTGTCGGGAAATGTGCAGAGGGGGATTGTGAAGGAGATAAGGACAAGCTGGCTAGCAAAGGCCTCTGTGAGTGACTTAGGTCCTAGAGAGCCTGACCTGGCCCCAGGCGCCAGCAGTGTGCCTGCCCCCGCCCCCCTGAGCAGGGAGGGCAAAGCAGCCAGCTCCAGGCGGGCCCCTGGGGGGAGGAAAGGGGTAGATGAGGAGGAGGTGGAGGAGGAGGCGGTTCCAAGGTGGGGGCTCAGGAGGTGTGGGGGCTCAAGAGGTGAGGGACCGGGGCGGCGATGGTGAGAAATATAAGGTGGAGGGATCTTTTGCCTACGTCAGGGGTCGGCAAACTCATTAGTCAACAGAGCCAAATAGCAACAGTACAACGGTTGAAATTCCTTTTGAGAGCCACATTTTTTTAAACTGAAACTTCTTCTAACACCACTTCTTCAAAATAAATTCGCCCAGGCTGTGGTATTTTGTGGAAGAGACACACACAAGGGCCAGAGAGCCATGTGTGGCTCGCAAGCCGCGGTTTGCCAACTACTGGCCTAAGTAAACAGAATGCTGTTTGGAAAGAGAGCATTTCAAAGGTCTAAACATTTTGTTGGTTTGTGGTAGTAAGTTAACCATCGAGTGCAATCCCAGAGTTTCATCGATACGCACGTCACATCTGTGCCTTTTGCTACTTCGTGGTGAGCATGGGGGCTTGCTCACGGCTCTCCTGAACAAGTCCTGCTGCTGCCGCCTTCCCGATATTCCTTGCCGTGCATGTGGAAGCTTCTGGAGTGAGCAGAGCCATCAAGGAACGACAGGCCCCTTTTCGCCTGGTGCTTTATTGCTCACCGCGCGGTCTTCAGAGCACACTACGGGGGCAGCCTTCGAGGCTGTGGGGAAGGAGGGGGGAAAGCAATGCCTCTGCCACCTCACCAATAGAAACCAACCCTGGAGGCCCTGGGGAAGGTCCCGTGGCCCACCTGCCCTCTGCCGGCCAGGAGGGGGCATGCAGAGACCCAGGTCAGCTCCCGGGCTGGTGCACATTTGCAAGGCTGGTGCAGAGGGCCCTCAGATACCCCTCCCCAGGTCCAGGCGGGGCCATCTGTCCCGTACCCACCACTACCGGTGCGATGTGTGCGGTCACTTGCGCCCCGTGGTGACGCCCAGCAGCGTCTGGATCATCTGGGCGTGGGTGCCGTGGAAGGGCAGCCCGTCCACCTCCATGCCCACGCGGCCCGAGACGCCGCTCCGCACGCCCTGCTGCACCAGGATGCTCAGCATTTTTTCTTCCTGAAACAGAATGAGGCGGAGGAAGAGCTGGCGAACAGGGAAGGGAGAGGAAACACAGATGGGCACATACATGGAGGAGGGAGCTAGCTGGACGTGACATGGCCTCTTCTTCACCGCCGAGTGTTGATTAAAAGTACGAATGCCACCAAAACCGGTTTGGCTCAGTGGATAGAGCGTCGGCCTGCGGACTGAAAGGTCCTGGGTTCGATTCTGGTCAAGGGCATGGACCTTGGTTGTGGGCACATCCCCAGTAGGGGGTGTGCAAGAGGCAGCTGATTGAGGATTCTCTCTCATGGATGTTTCTAACTCTCTATCCCTCTCTCTTTCTCTCTGTAAAAAAAATCAATAAAATATATATTTTTAAAAAATACGAATGCCTCGGAAGACCTGTCATGAAAAACAGTCCTGCTTCCTGCTTCATCAGGCTCCAAACCCACTCGCCAGAGGTGGCCAGGGTTTGGGCTGTTGTTTCTGCGTATTCTTCCCGTCATATGCTTTTTATGGAAACCTGCATTTTCCTCACACACACTACAGAGTCCCTCCTTCGGCAGGGGGGCAGCATAAGCTGCTTCCCGCCTGCCTCGCCCCTGCCCAGCTCTGCCTTCCCTGCCGCTGGCCTCTGACTGTGCCAGGAAGGCCCCTTTCCTCCCGAGACCCCGCTTCAGCCTCCTGCGGGGATACGCCAAGTGCTGCCGCTTTCGCCTTCCCCATATTCCTTGCTGTGTGTGTGGAAGCTTCTGGAGCGAGCAGAGCCATCGAGGAATTACAGGCCCCTCCTCACGTGGCAGCCAGCAGGCAGAGTGGTTGGGGGTCAGACAGACCCGGCTTGGGTCCTTCCTGGCAGGTGCTTTCACCTCTCTGTGCCTCCATGTCCTCCTTTGTACAATGGGGGGCGGGAAGGGGGGTATTGAGCTGTCTAACATGATGTGATTCCCCTCCTTCCCTTTCCCTCCACTTGGCTAAGCCACCAGCATGTCTGTCCCGGCTGAGGACTCCTCTCCCGGGGGAAGGCAGATCTCAGGGAAAGCAAAAAGAGAGAGGACAGTGCCTGCGGGGAAGAAGGCCAACATGTCCCTCCCATCCCCTCGTCCTCCACAAAGGGAGGAGGGGGTGAGAGGCCAGGGCCAAGCAATCAAGAACAGGAAGAGGGGACAGCTTCCTGCTCAGGCACTGCTGATTCATTCAGTCGTCCAGCCAAGTCTGACTGAGCACCTGCTCCGTGCCAGGCCCTGGACGGGGTGGTGCAGTGGTGAAGGTGGCATGGTCCCTGCCCGGGGGTTTACAACCTAGATGTGTGCTCCGGCAGGTACAGTCCAGGGGGTGACAGGACAGAGCGGGGCACCGAACCCCGTTTACTGGGGTGACTCAAAGAGGAGGGCCGGCCAGGTCAGAAGAGCAGAAGTGGGCCAAGCAAGGGGCTGCGAGGGGCACTCCCTGAAAACGCTTTAAAACAATGCGGAGCCCTGGCAAGTGTCCCCGGGAACTGTCTGCTCTCGCTGCCCTGAGAGCCTGCGTTTCCGCTCTGCCCTGGAGGCCAAGGTGGAAGGGAAGCCTGAATGTTTCCAGGGCGTTTGTCCAACAGCCCCTCCCAGGGGCCTCCAGGGCCTCCCAGGGCCCGGGCAGCCCAGAATGGCACTTTCCGCCCTTTGTTCGGGCTTTGTCCTCCCATTTCTCTTCTCCGTGGGCCACATCCTCTCTTTACGGGGGAATGCTTCTGGGACCCTCCGGCCATTTTCTCCCAGGACACTGCGGCTCCCACCGTGCGCATCCTTTGGGTCCCAGGGAGGACCTTGTGGTCCTCAGGGTGCGGGTGGCCAGTCAACAGGAACTGGCTGGCACGCAACTGTCAAGAGCCATGGCGATGAGCTGGACCGACTGTGAGTCCTGCACATCTCCCAGGAATCATCCCCCTTTCCCCCCTCCCAGGAGCCTCTTCAAGGGCAGAGGGTGCTGCTGGGGAGAAAAGGCCGGGGAGTGAGGAGGCAGAGAGCCTTGACACACCCCTCCAGGTGGAGCCAGGGAGCAGGAGAGGGGGAGGGAGCACAGAAGGGAGGCAGAGTGGCACACGCAAGCTACTGTAGGGTCTCAGGGAATGGGCACTTAGCTCATTCAGAGAGCTCAAGGAAGGCTTTACTCACTGTGGGGGCGACAGGGGCCCCAGGATGACTTCTGGGCTTAGAGGCCCAGTGAGCGGCTGGTCACTAGCGACTCACAGCGGGAGCCTGGTGGACCGGTATCCATGGTGAGGTGGTGTTGCCATGCAAAGTGGGGTGGGAGAGAGGGGTCTCCTGGGAAGATGACCCCTTTTTATTTATAAAATGTAATCCCTTGCAAACTTAACTTTTGGTGACTTACATCAGTTATGCCTCGCAAAAAAAAAAAAAGTTAGAAAAAAAGTGGAGTGAGATGAAAGTGCTGGAAAGGAACGGGAGCCCAGGATGAGGCCAGAGGCCATGTTCCCGACTCTCTGCATCATCCATCAGATCCATTACCCACTCATCCATCATGGACCCATCCATCCAGCTAGCCAGCCAGCCAACCAGCAGTCCTTCCGTCAATCCGTCCATCTATCCAACCATCCGTCCATCCATCCACCCATCTATCCTCAGTCCCTCCTGTCAGGTGTCATCAGTTGGCTCCTGGTCGCTGAGAAGGTCTGGGGAATGCTCTCTCGCCATTTGTCCTGCCTTCGATTACAACCCCAGGGCACGGCCAAAGACCAGAGCGGACAGGTGTGGCTCCCGGGCTTCTCTACATGGTGCCCACTGTTGACACAGTTAGGATCAGACCGCTAAGAACTGTCCCTAAATATGGGAGGCCCAACTTACAATCAACTCACAGAGCAGGGATAAGGGACGTTTCTCTGTCCCTAACCAAGCAAGGCTCACCACCATCTCAGGCCACAGCTCTGCCCAGCGTCTCCTGATGACTCAGGACCCCTCCAGGAGTGGCCACTGACCTCTGGTATGACCATTCTAGTTTTGCTCTTGAACACTGCGCCACCTCATGTCCCTGCACCTTCCTGTGGCCCGGAAGGCCCTTCCTTACCTGCTATTTATATCCTGCTCACCCTCTGAGACCCTGCTGAGGGCCACCTCCTCCAGGAAGCCTTCCTTGAGCTCTCTGGATGAGTTGAGTGCCCATTTTCTGAGTCCCCACAGTAGCTTGCTTGTGCCCCACTTCCCCTTGTCTCCTGAAACTACCTTTCCTGTGGTGTCTCCGCTGTGGGTCCTGAGTTCCCTGCCCAGAGCAGGCCTGGATCTGACCCAGAGGAAGGGCTCAGCAAACACACGCTTGTACTTCTGCTTTAGAAATGTTCCTTTCTGTCTCTGCTATAAGGATGGTGCATTATTAATACATTTACGAAGAACGGGGTGGAAACTAGGAAGGAGAATTTTCCATCCCCGGGCTAAGTGGTGAGCTGTGTGACAGTTTGGCTCATTCTGCTGCCTGTGTGAATCAGGAGTCATGTGGGAGGCAGCCCCCTGAGTGTGTGTGTGTGTGTGTGTTTTTGTTGTTGTTGTTGTTATTTTTTTTCCAATTAAGATCCAGGAAGCAAAGAAAGCACAGAAGGCCCTCTGGGTCCCTCTAGTCAGACCATTTCCCCAGAAGATGTCTCTTCCGCTGCGAGCCCTGCTTCTCCCTCCCCTCCGCACAGCAGCCTGGCATTACCAGGAACTGGTGCCCCTACAGGACCTGGGCAACTTGTGAGCCACACTGGGAAGAGCCCATGGTAGAGTCAGAGACGTGGACCCAGACCTCAGCTCTGCCTCTTAGCTTGTGGTGCTGGGAAAGCTGCTCCCCTCTTGGGGCCTCAGCTCCCTCACTTGGAAAACAGAGACACCCCCAATCCAGGGAGGTGCTGAGAGACAGGGTGGGGCACTGGGGCAGGAGGGAAAGACAGAGGGAGAGATGGGCATGTTACAGAAAACCGAAGAAGAACAAAGCAATAGCATTGAGATGTAGTTACATTTATTACGCACGGGTCCAGAGGAAACTATCTCTCAAATTCTGGGCCCCAACATGCAGGAATTCACCCTAGTTATATGATTTTACCTTCTCTGTCTCCCAAATATGGAGTGTTTCTGGCCCTTTTTGCAAGTTCTTAAAGACCCCGTATGTGCTGGGCCTTGAGACCTCAACCAGAGCCCTAGCCTGGCGCCAACACTGATAACCTTGTCTGGGGAAGGTTTAATGCCTAGGTGAAGTGGGAGTAGTCTTAGCAAGCAAGAATTTACAGAAGCCAACTAGCAGGGTTAAAATTTCAAACAGCAATTTTTCATATAAGATGGATGCTTGAGGCAGAAGAAAAAAGGGTTGGGAAGGGTACAAGACAATGTTTTTAGAAAGTCAGAAAAGAGGCGGCAGCCAGGACCAGTTTGGCTCAGTGGATAGAGCATAGGCCTGCGGACTGAGGGGTCCCAGGTTCGATTCTGGTCAAGGGCAGGTACCTTGGTTGCGGGCATATCCTCAGTAGGGGGTGTGCAAGAGGAAGCTGATCGATGACTCTCTCTCATCGACATTTCTAACTCTCTGTCCCTCTCAATTCCTCTCTACGTAAAATCAATAAAATATATTTTCAAAGAAAGAAAGAAAGAAAGACAGAAAGAAAAGAGGCGGCAGTGACGGACTCTGGATCCTGGGACCAGACATCCTTCTCTATGCCAGCGCACCCCCAGCCAACTGTCCCCCACCTCCAGAGCAGCCTCCACTGAGCACTGAGCTGGTCCCTACCGCCCAGCTTTATGGTTCCCACCTTGCCTCATTTTTGAAGGTCTTCCCTTCTCCTGGGTTTATTCCTTCCAACCTCCTGCCCCAGGTCCTCTTCCCTCCTCAGTCCCCCCACCTTCGCACGCTGTGGGCGGCTAATGGTCCCATCCCACCTGAGTTCTTAGTGCCCCGGCTGCATTGTCAGCTCCCTGGAAGGGGACCACAAGGTGCCCCGAAGGCAGCTGCAGGCACACCTCATTTTATTGCGCCCCACCTTATTGCACTCCACAGATATTGCGCTTAAAAAGAATTATCCCACCTCCACCCCCGAAGGCAAGACCCCCACCACCACCAGCAAAAAGGGTGCGACTCGCTTTATGGCCACACTCGCTTTATTGCAGTGGGTGATCTGGAACCCAGCCCCAATACCTCAGGTCTGCCTGTATATGCAGTTCTTCCCACAATACTGCTGGCCTCCAATTTACAGACAACGGAAACGGGGCTCAGACAGGTTAAGCTATTTGCCCAAAGTCAAACTAGAAGGAAAACGTCATTGATAGCAGGTCTTCCTTCATAATTTAGGATCATGAGTAGGTCAAAGGCCACCCAATCCAGTCCAGCTGGGACACCTTTGCCTCTAGGTAGGCTCTGCCTCTGGCTGTTGACGTGCAACCATGGTGCTGGGCCGTGGCCTGGGCTCGCACACCAGGCCTAATCCCCACCCAGGGAGGAGCTGTTCCCATGGAGGTGGGGAGGGGGACAGTGGGGGGCTGTTACCTTAGCAACGGACGGGAGTGCCTCGGTCCAGTGCTGCTCCCCAGGTGGGTGGGAGGGCCCGGTGGCCTTCCTCAGGTATCGCCCGTGGACCTCGCAGGAGTTCAGGATGTACAGAGCACAGGCCAAGGCGTAGCCTCCCCAGTTAGACACGCCTGGAACAACATGAGATTTCCACACAGAGCTGGTGATGCGGTCCACGGTCCACCCTCTTCCTCTAAGCATCAGAATGCGTCTCGAGAGTGGGCTCAAGACCCGTGGCGCCGGGGACTTGCAAGAAACACAAACTCCAAGGCTGTATCGTGGGATCTGCTTCATCAGAAGCTCGCTGGGGCGTGGAGCCACGTGGAGGTTTAACAAGCCCCCAGGTGATTGCGATTCAAGTTAAAGTGTGAGACGCACGGCTGCCCAGCACCGTTTGGGTAGGTGTACCACCGTTCGCTCACTATAATTCACTGGCTGTAGGTGTATGTCGCTATGAAAAGCTCGTCGGTTTATTGACTTTTGAGTCCTGCCTTCGGTTGCCTGGGCAGGGCCAGACCCAATGACTTCTGGGCCCGTGGGCAGCACGTTCCCCAGCCCTGCTCTGAACCACCTGGGTCTGTACTGCTAACGAGTCAGAGGACGAGATTCAGGCCACGCCCAGGAGCCCTTCCAGAACTCTCCCTGTGGCATGGCTGCCGGACCTCAGGCTGCATGGAAGCCTGTCCTCAGAGGGACCCACAACAGCCTGGCACCTGAGTTGTATCAGCGCTTCTCTCCTCTTTGGTCAGCCCCAAAGGGCCAGTTCCCCCCTGGGGGCCACCTCACCGGCTCTTCTCTGAAACCTGCTGGAGCTAGTTCTCCCCTCGAGTGAAGAGGATTGATCAAGGACTGCGGAGCTCCATGTGCTAGAGGATTAAGAGAGAGAAGGTGCCCTGGCCGGTGGGGCTCGGTGGTGATAGCACCGGCCTGAAAATCGAAGGCTCTCAGGTTCATTCCCAGTCAAGGGCACCCACCTGGGTTGCCAGTTTGCTCTCTACCACCCAGTTAGGGTACCAAAGCTTTCATTCCAAACAGCCACCCTCTCCCCACGGTCATGTGGGATCCCCTCCTCTCGTTAGGGGACCCCATCTGCTGCTGAAGTCATCACCACATCAGGGATGCATCGACGGGTCAAGCCCGTGGGGATTGACCAGTTTTATGAAGAATCTAGCATCTGAAGATAAACTGGAGGAAACCTGAGGACTTCCTAAGAAATCCTCCCGAGATTCTCTTCCCCTGGGATCCAAGACCCCAGGGTAAGGGGGCCGGCAGATAACGGTTCTGCCATCAGCCCGCAAACACGGAGGCCTGAGGGTTTCCGCCTCCTCTTCTGGGTATCCCGGCTGAAAAGCCAACCCAGAGTAGAGACCAGAGACGCAGCCTGTGGACATCGCTTCAGATGCCTACCTGCCATTTCTACGTCTTCTTTGTGAGCTGTCTGTTTCAGGTCTTTTGTCCTGGTTTTAATTGGGCAGTTTGTTTTCTTATTGTGGAGTTTTAAGCGTTCTTTGTATTTATTTATTTATATTTTTATTTATTTATTTTTTGGATAAACTTGTGAGCCAGGCCCCTCCCGCTGGGCAGCCAGGCCCCGCCCCCTGGGCAGCCAGGCCCCGCCCCCTGGGTGCACTGGCCAGCCCTCCTAGCACTCACCAGCGATGACAGCGAAGTCAGCCTCCACATCACAGGCAATGACATCCCCATTTCGTATGTGGCTCTTCACGGCCTCCTTCACCTTGCCCATCCCAAGTTCATTGCCTCCGTCACCAACCCCTAAAGGAGAGACAAACCGAGTCAGTACATATAGGATCAGGCCAAATGGGGTTTGTGGGGCAGGGCCACCCCTCCGCACGGGCCTCACTGCCTCTGGGAAAAGAAGCGGGTTGGCTCTGGATATATTTCCAGACAACCAGGAGATGTACTTCTCCTTTAAGTATTCTGGAAAATTCTTTAGTTAAAAATGAGTCAACGTTTGGCCCAGCCAGTGGGTGAGCATCCCTCAGTGGTTGAGCGTCAACCTATGAGCCAGGAGGTCACACTTTCCTTTCCTCTTGCCTCTTCAGTTGTGCATTTCTGTTCCGGTTCCAATGCCTCCTCATTGGTCAGTTCCTCAGGAACCACCACTAGGAACTGCTCAATGCCATTCGCACCTGCAGCCGGGCGTTTGCCATCTCAGCCACAGCCTGGGTGATTTTTGCAACCTCCTCATCCCTGCAAGTCCTTTGACATCGTGAACAAACCTCCTGAGTGTCTTCTTCCACTCACCATTCACACATGGCGGGAGGACATCAGCCCAGCACAGCAAGGCTCCTGAAGCGGAGATAGAGGCTGCAGTCCTTGGTAGCCGCATCAGTGTATTCTCAGTGTCTTCCTCCGAGGCAGCAACAGCCTGGGCAAGGGTCATCCCCCCGGGAGTAGGTCTTAGACGCTGGTGTAACTTCTCAATGGATTGATTGGATCAAAGAGATGGTGTTTGGAGACAGAAACGCCACTTTGAGATTGGGATGAAGATCACCAATAAGAGGAGGGTGTCTGGAGCATTGTCAACGATAAGCAATATTTTGAAAGACATGTTAATCTCCAAGCATACCTCTCCCTTGTGCTGACATAGCAACTCAGGAGGGCATCCTGGGAGAGGAGCTGGGTCACCCAGGCCTTCTTGTTGCCCCTGGAGGACAGTGCTCAGTGAAAAGCTCCAGGCCCCAGGTTTGCCCTGTGCCATATTAAAGGGGTTCAATCTGTAGCCTGTAGCCCTGCTCCCAAACAAAAATGGTGTCCTGTCCTTCGAAGCCTTCAAACCTGGCACGGCCTTGGCCTCCACGTGGACGAAAGAACGTTCAAGCATCTGTTTCCAGAATAGGGAGGTTTCCTCACGATGGACTATTTGTTCTGGCAAGTAGTTTCCCTCCATCATAAGCTTATCTAGAGCTTCCAAAAATTCTAGTTCTCCAGCTGCCTTCACTCCAGCACTGGCAGACTCACCACTCACTTTCACATCATGTACGAATAACAATTCTTTTTTTAAAAGAATATGTTTATTGACTTGAGAGAGAAAGGAAGGGGGAGAGAGGGAGGCAGGGAGGAAAGGAAGGAGGGAGGGAGGGAGGGAGAGAGGGAGGGAGGGAGGGAGGGAGAGAGAGTGAGAGAGAGAGAGAGAGAGAGAGAGAGAGAGAGAGAGAGAGATGGATCGGTTGCCTCCCGTATGCACCCTGACCAGGGACCAAACTCACAACCTGGGCACGTGCCAGACCAAGAATCAAACCAGTGACCTTTGGGTGTACAGGACGATGCTCCAACCAACTGAGCCACACCAGCCAGGGCTGAATGCTGTTCTGGAACTGTTTAAATCACCCAGAGCTGGCAGCAGATTCACCATAGTCGGGCCCACTCTCTTCTTTCAATGTCACCAATAAACTCTGTGCTTGGTCGTGACCGTCATGGTGCTGAGAAGGACGTGCTTCTGTGTCTGGTCCCGAATCCAAATCATCAGAAGTTCTCCATGCCTGACGTGGCACCTTTTCAAGTTTCCATTGGTCTCATTGCTTTCAATGAAGCAGATCCTTCAATGACTTTCATTGCCTTTTTTTTTTTTTTTTTTTTTTGTTCTTCAAAATGGTAGCTGTGGTGGAATGGGATAGGCAGATGGGTGAGCAGTGACCGCCGCTGATCTTCCATCTTCGGAGTCCTTAACTACTTTTAATTTAATTTCAATCACTGGACATGGATGCCCCAATGCCTTCAGCCTGCACCCTGGGTGCTTTTTCGGAACAGTTTTTTGCAGACCCGGGACAGCCCATCGGAGGAGGGGAATAATGGCAACAGCTCGTAGGGGAATTTGGTCTCTTTCGATCTCTGCTCTTAAGCATTTTATGACTTTCATCCCGTTCACTCCTCAGGCCCATGGCCCTGTGTTCCTGACGGAGCTCATGGTGTCTCTGCAAGGGCCAGGGCTCGGGCGGTAAGCGAAAGGTGGGTGTCTGGGTTCTCAGTGAGCGCTCTGTGCAGGACGAGGCGGCTGCCTGGGTAAATGGAATGGGGTGTTTGTTGGTTGAGTAGTAAGAAAAGACAGCCAGGTAAGTAGTCCTGCTGAGCATGGGCTATTGGAAGCCACCGAGGCCCAGAGAACTATCCAGAGGCCCACAAAGGGGGCAGCTTGATGGTGCAGATGTCAGATCCCCTGGGATCTTGGGGAGGAAAGGTTGGTGTGGGATCAGCACAGATTGGGGATCTGTTCGGTGGTAACTGCAGCTCCATTTGGACCCCGATTGCTCCTTTGGACTCAGACACCCTTTCCTTCTCCACCCTGGGGATTCTCCCACCGCCCCCCAGGCTCTAGGTCCTAGGCGCCGGCCCCAGAGCGACAGGAACTGCAAAACCAGTGACACAGAGCCTACCACGCCCGAGGCCACTTCTGGGAAAGACCAGGGTGGGTTTGCACGAGCTCTCTGCTCTGCCGGGAAGACTTTCATTGACTCATTAGAACCTTAAAAGCCCGAGGTGACTAATGAGTCTGGGAAAGGCTCCCGGCTTGGAGAAAACAGATGAAGGCAGACCGAATGGCCAGCGGGTTAATGGCTGCAGGGTCTGATCCCTGACGCCCCCAGGGGAGGACGCCTTACAGAAATCCACCGAGTTCCTGAAAAGCTCCGCTCCCAGTCCGCCCGGCAGCAGCCAGGAGCTGGGCAAGATAGAGAAGCCCTGGCCTCCTGTTTGGACACTAGACCTGCCCTCCCTGCCTCATGGGGTCTTAGAGAAGCTTCAACAATACAGCAAATGGGGAACCTCTGAAAACGACCAAGTTCTGTGCTTTCCACGAATGACCACGCTAGGATACTGTTAGCAGTCAAGAGATGGCACTATATTTAAAAAATAAAAATAAATAAATAAATAAATAAATAAATAAATAAATAAATAAACAAACCCTTCTGCTGAAACCGGTTTGGCTCAGTGGATAGAGCATCGGCCTGCAGACTGAAAGGTCCCAGGTTCGATTCCGGTCAAGGGCATGTACCTTGGTTGTGGACACCTCTCTGGTGGGGATTGTGCAGGAGGCAGCTGATCGATGTTTCTCTCTCATCGATGTTTCTAGCTCTCTATCCCTCTCCCTTCCTCTCTGTAAAAAAATATCAATAAAAAATATATTTAAAAAAAAAAATCACATAGTTAACACATGTTTTAAAATTAAGATGCTTCCTAAGATGACACATAATATACTTGGTACATTCATCCCATGCGACCACCATAATATGCCAGGCCTTGATATTATTATTAATTATTATTATTCTTCTATTGTTCGTTTTAATAGTTTAGAGTTGGGCAAACATGCGAGGCTCCATGCCATTTCCCTTGGTTGCCTGTGGGAACGTTGGCTTTCTGAATGACGTGGTGGTTATTGTCCATGCAGACCCTCTGTGGGGTGGGGAACAATGGTCCCCATAAAACTCTTTCCTGTCCTCTGTTCAATAGCCAATAAAAAGGCACTCGGTGCGGGCATGTCCTGAATTCTCGGTGCCTCTTGCTTACCAGTTGATGCGATTCCAGGAATTTTCTGTGCTGCCAGGAAAAGGTCGTCGATGGGGTCCACCAAATGCTTGATGTTCATTTTCCTCGCGTTGTAGTAATTCCCGTCCGCAGCCCTGCCTGCGCGCTCGATCGCCACCAGGTGGTCGAACCTGCAGGGAACAAGAGCACAGCGTGCCGAAACCGGTTTGGCTCAGTGGTAGAGCGTCGGTCTGTGAACTGAAAGGTCCCGGGTTTGATTCCGGTCAAGGGCATGTACATTGGTTGCGGGCACATCCCCGTAGGGGGTGTGCAAGAGGCAGCTGGTCGATGTTTCTCTCTCATCGACGTTTCTAGCTCTCTATCCCTCTCTCCTCCTCTCTTTAAAAAATCAATAAAAGATATATTAAAAAAAAAAAAAAAAAAGAGCACAGCGTCCTGGAGCAAAGGTGGCGGCCTTGGAGGACACGTCCCTCCCTCTTGGATTCCTTCATTCCTACAGAACTTGGCTGGACATCTGCTCCATGGCGGGGCCTGTGCTGGAGCTGGTCTATCTCCGTGGTCAGCAAACTGGGGCTCTCGAGCCACATGCAGCTCTTTGGCCCCTTGAGTGTGGCTCTTCCACAAAACACCATGCCCCGGGCAAGTCTATTTTGAAGAAGTGGCGTTAGAAGAAGTTTAAGTTTAAAAAAGTTGGCTCATCCTAACCGGTTTGGCTCAATGGATAGAGTGTTGGCCTGCGGTCTGAAGGATCCCAGGTTCGATTCTAGTCAAGGGCATGTACCTTGGTTGTGGGCACATCCCCAGGAGAGGGTGTGCAAGAGGCAGCTAATGGATGTTTCTCTCTCATTGATGTTTCTAACTCTCTCTCTCTCCCTTCCTCTCTGTAAAAAAATTAATAAAATATATATATTTTTAAATTTGGCTCTCAAAAGAAATTTCAATTGTTGTACTGTTGATATTTGACTAATGAGTTTGTCGACCACTGGTCTATCTGATCATTGTAAGAAACTATGTCAGAGCTGAAACTGGGTTGGCTCAGTGGATAGAGCATCGGTCTGCAGACTGAAAGGTCCCAGGTTCGATCCTGGTCGAGGGCATGTACCTTGGTTGTAGGCACATCCCCATTGCGGGTGTGCAAGAAGCAGCTGATCAATGATTCTCTCTCATCGATATTTCTAACTCTCTATCCCTCTCTCTTCCTCTCTGTAAAAAGTCAATAAAATATATTTTAAAAAAAGAAATGATGTCAGAATCTTTAGAGATTTATCAGTCGGAGGCCATGACAGCTGGAAGGCTGAGAGTCAGGGTCACGGCCGTGGGCACTGCTGGAGCCTGGTCCAGACCTCCACGAACTGGCACCCCGTGGTGTGAGTGTGGCTGCTATTGGCCCACCACCGCCACATCCAGGCTCCTGCTCAGTGTACAGGCACAAAGAGACGAAAGGAATTGAAGTGTTAGACCAATGAATCTACCACGTGATGAACTTCCTTAGACAGAGGCAGAGAGGTAAGGGGTACGGGTGGCGTGGTGGTGAGGATCTAGGCTGTGAGCTGCGCAGATCCTCATGCACTGGCCCTGGGTAAGCGGCTTCACCTCTCTAGAGAAACTGCACTTTTATATCTCTCTAAATCTGCCCCACCCCATGATGGAGTTCTTCAAAATCTTAACTGTGCTGTGAAAACAGTGTGGGGCTACTGAAAAAAAAAAAAAAACCTAAACGGAACTGCCACGGGATCCAGCAATTCCACTGCGGTATGCACCCCAAGGAAGGACGGAAAGCCGGGTGTTGAAAAGGTGGTCACACAGCCACGGGCCTGGCAGCATTGCTCACAATGGACAAGAGGTGGGACCACCCAAGTGTCTGCCCGCCGAGGGGCACTCAGCCAGATGCAGGCCTCGCATGCCAGGACTGCGCCTTCAAAGGACAGGACGTCTGATACCTGCTCCCACGGGCACGCGTCTCAAGGACGTTTCGCTCAGTGAAACAAGCAGGTCGCTAAAAGGGCAGCTCCTATGGGATTCCATGTACGTGAGGGCCCTACCATAGGAAACATGTAGAGACATAAAGCAGAACGGCAGGTGTCAGGGGCTGGGGGTAGGGAGGAATGTGAATGGGGACAGAGTTCTGCAGGAGGTGGGTGGTGGGGACAGCTGCACAGCAACGTGTATGTCCTTCACGACACAGACCTGCACATGTTACCACAATAAAGACAACATCGCAGCTCCGGGTGCTTTCCCTGTGCCCGTTCTGGAGAACAAGGCTTCCTGTAGGCCACGTCCCTTGGTTGGGCTAGAACGAGGTGGATGAGCAGTCCTGAGCAGGTGCTGGAAGGTCACCCCGAGGCCACGTGCCCCGAGCGGGACAGGTGGCCACTGAGAAGCAAAGCGACAGGAGGAAGGAGTTGGCCCGGGTTCCCTCCGGGTGGACATTTTTACTGGTGATGGAAACCAGCTCAGTGCTGAGCTCTGGGCGAGACCCATGCAGCCTCTGTTTTAGAACAAGAGCACTGAGTCTGGACCTTCCGCAGGAGCACTCAGCGCCCCCCTCCCCGAAGGTGCATTGATGAAAAATAAATACATAAATACATAATGAATAAAATACATAAATATTGCTGACTTCAGAGAGGAAGGGAAATAGAGAAAGAGATAGAAACATCCATCATGAGAGTCATTGATCAGCTGCCTCCTGCAAGCCCCACGCTGGGGTTGAGCCCAAAACCCGGGCATGAGCCCTGACTGGGAATCAAACCATGACCTCTTGGTTCACAGTCGATGCTCAACCACTGACCCACACGGGCCTGGCTGACTTTCTATTAAGCCAGAAGAGCCCGGTTAGCTACACAGGAAGGAATTCACTATTGGGAACCAGCTCCCTGGGAAAGTTAGTGCATCTTCTCTAAAGAGCAGAGGCCTCTCTGCCTGTGATCAGATCTGGCTCCCCTCCCTCCCTCCCTCCCTCCCTCCCTCCCTCCCTCCCTCCTCTCAGCAGAGGATGGGATCTGGCTCCCTCCCTCCCTCCCTTCCTCCCTCCTCTCAGCAGGGGATGGGATCTGGCTCCCTCCTTCCCCAGGAGGAGTTCCTAGCTTCTCCCTGATGAGTCGGAGCTTTGTGTGTGTGCCACCCATTCAGGGATCATAAACTTTTCTAACAGGCGCCACACACATTCTCACAGCTTGGAATATCGGATTTGCGATCACACTTTTCCTTGGCGACTGAGGGTCCTCAGGGGGACACCTGCCTTTGCTGTGAGCTGCCATATGGCCGTGCCCTCCATCCAGGCCTAGGCAAGCAGCACTCTTCAATTCTACGCGCTAGTGGGTGGTAAACAAGATTTATTGGGTCAGGTCAACATTTTCTGAAAAGCAGATGAAAACAGTAGAACAGAACAAAACAGACTAGATCAGGTTAGAATGCATTGCCTGAAGCAAGTAAATACTATTACTTGGAAACCTCTGTTTCAATTAATGTGTGTGTGCGTGTGTGGTTTGCAATGTGAAATGTATTACTGTGGGCTGCGGTTAAAAACGTTTGCAAAACACAGCACCAAAATTTACAAGGTCTGAAATGCATCCTACGTACACACAGAAAAGAAGTGTTTTTCCAAGTGTTTGACCACAATACACAGTAAAACACACACACACACACACACACACACACACACACACACACACACACACACACGAAGTTTCACAAGTGAGTACTCGCTATTACTACACAGGACATGCCTGACATCTCTATTTCATGTGACAAATGTGCTGACTACCCTACACTGGAATGACCTCCCGGCTCTCCAATGGGTCATGATCTGGTTTGAGAAACATGCTTGTGTTTTATCATCTTCTCCCTCCAAGACGTGCGGCCCCTGAGCTGCCCTCAGTCAGCCTGAACCCTCGGCCTTGCTGGCTAGTCTGGCCCATTGGAGCCCGGGGCCCATGGCTTTGTTCTCTCTGACACAGGAACGCAGTTGTCAAAGTTAACAGCCCGTGGCCTCTCCACCACCACCCACTGTAAACGGGGCAGGGCCACACGTACCTGGGAGACTTGGGGTCCCTCTCATCGCAGAGAAATGCCTTGGCAGCTCCTGCGGATCCGCCCTGGTAAGTTAGGAGCGGGAGTGGGGTCTTCAGAACACCTTGACAAGGCAGACAAAGAGTGGACACATCAGCCATAACCTGTTTGGCTCAGTGGATAGAGCATTGGCTTGTGGACTCAAGGGTCCCAGGTTTGATTCCGGTCAAGGGCGTGTACCTTGGTTGCAGGCACATCCCCAGTAGGAGGTGTGCAGGAGGCAGCTGATGGGTGTTTCTCTCCCATCGATGTTTCTAACTCTCTATCCCTCTCCCTTCCTCTCTGTAAAAAATCAATAAAATATATTAAAACAGAAAAAGAGTGGACACGTCAGCCTCTTGTGGGTGTGGGGAATTCCTGCTTGCTTCCCCAAAAGCTTCTTTGGAAATGATCGTTTCCAGGATCGAAGGACATGTCGCTGTAGAATTCTTTGCTAGGTCCTCGGAGACCTTGACCCAGAGAATACAGAAGTATATTTCCTTTTAGTCCTGAGTAAACTCTAAGGCTGGTGGAGGGGGAGGTGAAATTGGGCTGGTGCCACCAATATTGTGAGCTAGCAAATGTGCTCTACACGAATGCCACCATACCACACCAGGGACAGTGAGCAAGACCTTGGCCGAGATGTGACAGACACTCTCTCACCCAATGCTCGCAATGCTGTGTGACAAGAACCATGGTGACACCCATTTTACAGAGGAGGAAAACCGAGGCTCGGAGATGCTAAATCACTCGGGCAAAGCCAAGTATATAGGTCAGTGTCACAACACCAGTGCCCACCCGACTAGGAAACCTACAGCAGAGCAGAGCTTTGAGGTACCACCCAGGTATCGGTCTCCACGTATTCCTTCTGTGCCATGCAGGAGGCAGCCGATATGAATTGCTGAAAGGTGTTCTTTCAGAAGAGAAAGTAAATAAAGATAAAAATTATGAACAACAAATTCATAACTATCAACAAGTGAATCTAAAAACCAAGAAAATTATTTTAAAAAAAATCTGATGAACTGTTGAATATAATAGATTCTCACCTGTCATTGATGTTTCTATCTCTCCCTATCCCTTCCTCTCTCTGAAATCAATTTAAAAAAAACCAACAACAACCCAAACACATACCTTTAAAAAAACAAAACACCGAAGCCAGAACACGGCCTTCTCCCCTCAGTGCCTGAGGACTCCCCGTCACCCCCAGAGTAAAAGCCCAGGAGCTCACAGTCCCCCTGAGGCCCCTCCCGATCTGACCCCTGTGACCTCCGTGTCTCCCTCCCCAGGTTCTCTTCTCGTCCTTTTTGGGCGAGTCAGCTGACCACTGCCCTCCCCTCTCTTCACCTCCACCTAATGGCCTCTGTCCTGGCGAAGGTCACAGCCTGGGACACTCTTCCTCTGGCCAGCCCTGGCCCCACTGCTTCATTGACTTCAAGTCTTGGCTCCAATGGCACCTTCTCCATGAGGTGAACATCCTGTTTAAAATAGTCCCCCACCCCCACCCCCGCGGGACTATCCACACTTTCCTTTTTCCACGTGTTGTCTATTGTCTGTCACGCTCCAGGACAATAGACGCCCAGGAGGGTGGGGTTGTTTTCAGTTTTGGTCACTGATGGATTGCAAGAGCCGAAAATAGTGGCTGGCACACGGGAGGTGCTCACCATACATTTGCTGCGTGAAGTATCCTTTTTGAAACGTCTGAAGGAATGGGGGCTTTCGGGTATGCCTACCTGGAGTTGAAACTCTTTTGAGAGGCTAAAAAGGATTTGTGTCTCCTGGAGAATGCATTTTGGCACCGACTGGTTTGGCTCAGTGGATAGAGCATTGGCCTGCGAACGGAAGGGTCCCAGGTTCCATTCTGGTCAAGGGCATTGTGCTGTAGTTGTGGGCACATCCCCAGTAGGGGGTGTGCAGGAGGCCGCTGATCGATGTTTCTCTCTCATCGATGTTTCTAACTCTCTAGCTCTCTCCTTCCTCTCTGTAAAAAAATCAATTTTATATATATATATATATATATATATATATATATATATATATATATATATATAAATTTTTTTTTTAAAGAATGCATTTTGAGGGACAGAGAACTGGGCAGTGAGAAGCAGGAGAGATTCACCAGGCTCCCAGCTTATGCCTGAACAACACTGGCAGGATGAAGGAGAGTGAGACTCCCGAGACCCATCTCGGCACCCCAGCCCGGCAGCCCCATTGCTCACAGCTCTGTGCCCACCTGTGTGCTCCAGGAGCCCAAGTAGCGTGTGGCAGCCCTTCCCATCTGGGCCAGACGAGATGCTGCCATTTGAGCCTCTTCGGTCACTCTATTCTCAGCTCTCCCAACCCCTACGCCAGGGGTCTGGGCATGCCCTGGGTTGCCAAGAGTCCTCCGTAGGCCATTCCCACCTCTCATACGATAGGTATCAGGTACCTGGGTTCAAATCCCAGATCACCTGGCTCTCTCAGAGCCTCAGTCTCTTCCTCTATACAATGGGGATGATGTGGCTTATACTGAAGAGTGGTTCTGAGCTGGAAGGACTTACAACGCCTGTGTCGAGTGCACAGCCGAAGTTCCACAAACACTGACGCCTTCCCCCCTCTGCCCTCGCCTCACCGCTCACCTTGCTCAACGGCCTCTTCAACAAGCTTCTCAAACAAGCTCAAGGCTCTGAGGTCCACAACCATGGAGACGCCCTTCTCCAAGGCCTGCAGGAAGGCGGCCAGAGCGATGGCACCCGGGGGCCCGTCCGTCTCTTCCGGAGGCTCGTGGTTGAAGTGCGTGGGGAATCCGGTGGTGAGGAGCACCGAGCGGGCGTGGGACAGTGCCAGGGAGGCCCTCAGCAGCTCGTCTTTGCGCAGCAAGTGCCCGATGCCCCTGTTGCCTAAAGTTACAAATAAAATAATAAAATCACAAAATAATATAACTGTGTTTCAAGGAGAAACTCATGCAAACGGTAGTTTGTTTCTTTGTCTGTTTCAGAGGTAGTTTTTTTAAAAATATATTTTTATTGATTTCAGAGAGGAAGGGAAAGGAAGAGATAGAAGCATCAATGATGAGAGGGAATCATTGATTGGCCGCCTTCTGCACGCCCCCTGCCGGGGATCAAGCCCTCAACCTGGGCAAGTGCCCTTGACCAGAATCGAACCCGGGACCCTTGAGTCCACAGACCGACGCTCTATCCACTGAGCCAAACCAGCCAGGGCTCAGAGGTAGTTTTGAAGGATGTGCCAGAGGCTGCTATTTGTTCACCAGAACGTATCCTCTGCCCCTGCCCCACCGGTGAAGGGCAGTGGGGGTACATGGCTGGGCAGCCTCTCTCAGTTGGGCTGAAAGGGAATAAGAATAGGAGTGATGTGTGCCACCTTCTGGCCATGGACCTCTCATGCACTCCTCCAAGCTCTTCCTTTCCTGGGAGTTGGGATGTTGACAACTGGCGCCCTCTAGGGGTCTCATGAGGTGATGGCAGAATGCTGGGTCCCTGAGTGACCTGGTGGAGCAGATCCCCTTCCTGCTGAACTTGAATACCCAAGCCAGGAGCTCCACCCTGGACTGTTATGTGACAGGCCTCTATTTCTATTTTATTTTATTTTATTTGAGCAAAGCATCTCGGGGCTTATTGGTTGCGGCAAACCCCACAGAAGGAGGAAGGGACACGGTACTGTCTCAGTGGGGGATTCCCCAAAAGGAGACCCTAAGACATCAGAGTATTTCGATGGAGCGTGAGTGCAGCTATTTCCATGGGAAGTGAGTCGGGGAAAGAAGCCAGAAGGTGGAAGAGGAGGCACGGTAGAGAAAAAGGAGAGAGGCCGCGAATGCACATGTGGGCCAGCAGATGAACCCTGAAGGCATCGGGGGCTCAATCCGGTGAGAAGTGGCGTGGAGCCTGGCCAGTGTGGCTCAGTGGTAGAGCGCAGACCCACGCACCAGGAGGTCATAGTGCCAATTCCCGGTCAGGGCACATGCCCGGGTTGCAGGCTCGTTCCTCACTAGAGGGCGTGCAGGAGGCAGTGGAGCAATGATTCTCTCTCATCGTGGATGTCTCTCTTTCTCTCTCCCTCTCCCTTCTTTTCTAAAATCAATAAAAAGAAATAAAAAAGAAAGAAAGAAATAATGTGGAGCTCAGGAGAGGACTCTTCTTCCGGAGGACAGGGGGACTGGGCACGGCGGCACTGGCGTGAAGGCTGCCCATCGGGACGCTGGCTCCTCGCACTCCTGGGCTGTGCCTGCTCTGGGGCGGAGCAGAGACCCCGGCCTGCGGTGGGAGCTGCTGTTCTGAGAGCTGGGGTTGGGGCAGGGCACCAGCGGCGTCCGCTAGAGCTGCCGCCGGTGGCTGCCAAGCCGGTGGCAGCCGGGCGGGCGGCACAGCTTCCCGTCACGCACCCCCGTGCCTGTGTCTGCACGCGGAGCACGTCTGTGCCGTGGCGGCAGGATGTGACTCAGCGCTTCCATCCCGCGGTGGCCAAAAGGAGAGATGGGCCTGAGGGACGTCAGCGTGCCTCGGAGGTGCCGGGAGACGCTGCAGGAACACGGGGCTGGATTCCTGTCTGGGAGGAAAAGCTCCAGATTTAGGATCTGGACACTGACATTCTGCGTGACTTTGGCCTCGTCCTGGATTGTTCTTGGCCTCAGCGTTCCTACGAGGAGCCTGGGGGGGGGGGGGGGGGGCGCGGTTCAGGTGCGGGGAGGCTGGGCGGGAAGGGCCCCGCACGCACGGCCTGTGGGAGTGGGAGCAGAACACTCATCGGTGGGGCCTTAGGCTTGTCCGCTGGAGCCAACCATCGCTTCTGGGAAGGGAACCTAATAAAGCGGTCAGCAATGAACAGAGTCACAGGATGTCCGCTGAGGCAGTGCTTACGGGGCCAAACAGGATCGCAAAGGCGGATGACGTGGGGAAATGTCCACAGTGCATTAAAAAGTTCAAAAAGCAGGCTCTAAAATAGTATCACAGCATTGATTCAGAGAGAGAGAGAGAGAGAGAGAGAGAGAGAGAGAGAGAGAGAGAGAGAGAGAGAGAGAGAGGGAGAGGGAGAGAGAGAGATTGTTTCTGTTTGTGTCAGTCTTAATAGGCTCAGGACTGAATAGAAAGACTTTTCAGAGCCAACATTTGGGATGGGATGTTGGCAATTTTTATAACCTCTTTACTTTCCTATATTTATGCAATGAACATGAGTTGCTGTTGATAAAAGGAGAGTAAAATAACATTTTGAAAGAAATTAGGCTGTAGCCTATTTCATAAGATGTAGTGAGCACCAAAAGAAGAAGAAGAAGAAAAAAAAAAAAACCCAAACCCTGTCAACTCTACAGTAGGCTGCACATTTGTGATGGTTTTATTATTAGTGCAAACACGACTGTAATAAATCTCCAGAGTCTCCAGGCACTTCAGAGGCGAGCCAACGTCCTCTCAGAAATGACAGAGTGGCTCTATTATGAGCCCAGAGAGCAGTGCTCGGTCCACTGCCCTTCCTCTGTGTCTGCTTATTTAATAGAGGAGGGGTGCCGTGCGTCTGGGCCTGAGGATTCAAGATGCCCCTTGGCTGGCGATCTTGGCACATCCCAGACGGTCACAGATCCGCCTTTGCCCCGAGTCCCATGCTTCAAGCCCTGACGGACCCCGTCTGCACAGGCACCGAGGTGGTGGGGGGAGGAGCGCGCTGGCCGCCCTCCCAGCTCATTTTTATTAAGCGCTGGGTGCACTGCGTCTGCAGTAAATCCACTTTGCAATTATCTTTTTTTTTTGAATCTGAGCTAAAAGCAGAGCCAATAATTCATCTTTCCTCATGATCCTCGTGCTGTGTGAGAGAGCCGTCAGCGTGAGAGAGGAAGTATCACAAAAGTTTGTAAAAAAAAAAAAAAAAAAAAAAAAATACCCACCACGGAGATTAACTGTGCAAGAAGCTGGGTGTGCACAGCCATGAGTGTTCCCCTCTGTACATGCGTATGTCCTAGAAGGTGCATCTGGGGGCGGGGGGTGGGGGGTGGGGGGGGGCGCCGCGCTCCGTCCCGCATCTACTGTGTGTCTGTAGGTTAGAGAACTGTCTTCCCTGCAGGATAAAGGAATGAGTGAACACGTGAGAGGCCTGACAGACAGACAATCAGGCAGGAAGCTGTGCCATTGGGGGCAACCTTTGCTCCCAGTGGCAGGGGAAGGTCAGACATGATTCAAGCTGGGCTGCTCCATCAGGTTCTGGGCCTCGGTGTCGGCCAACACAAACGGGCACCCAGGCTGTCTGCCCCGTGGCCCTGCGCAGGCGCTGTTCTCCACCCCAGGGTCACCACCATGAGTGGTTGGGGTCTCAGGGGTCTGGCCTGGAGGGTTGACCTCCCCGGGATGGTCTCACGGCTCTGCTCCCCGCAGGCCCCACCACCATCGATCTCGTGCCTGTTTGGGGGACAGGGGTCTGGTCGGCCAGCAGCGAGGCCACAGGCGGTCAAAGTGCAAGAACTACCGGGGATGGAGTCACAGCCCGTGAGAAGGGCAGGAGAGGGGTGGGGTATGAGTCAGAAGAGACAGGGCACGTGAAATGCCGGACACAAGCCATTCAGACTCAGATTCCAACGTATCCCACACTTCCTTCTGCCCAACCATCTCCTAGGCATGTGAACGTGGGCAAGTTTCTTAACCTTACATGCCTCAGTTTCCTCAGCTGTTAGAAGACGTTCCTAATAGCTTCCCCCAAGAGTTATTGGGAGAAGTTAATACGATGAAACATGTACATGCTTTTAGCACATGCCTGGCCCAGACAGAGTAAAACTCAGTGGATAGTAACTATTGTGCTCGTGACCTATCAGAACCCTGAGAGAAAGGTATTCTTGTTATTACTCCAGTTACACGGATGAGGGAAATGAGCAGCTGTGAAGACTATACCTTGCTTCTCTGTGAGCCTTTGTCAGGAACACACACACACACACACACACACACACACACACACACACACAAAACAGAACAGAAAAACCCCAAACCACTCAAGCACAATGGCGCCCTCTGCTGGCCACCTGAATTAGAGATACAGCCGGTAAAGGAAGATGCAGCAGGAAGTTGAAAGGCCCCCAACCAGCCCTTCAGCAAACCGCCTCTCAGCTGGAACCAGCAGATCCCTCGTGGGCCCCACCAGCCCTCTCCTTGTCTCGAAAGCCAGAGGCTCACAAACCACAGGACAATGTTTTCTCCGAGACGCAGTTGCAATAGACATATCAGCTACGAATGGTTGTGAGGCAAACTGCAGGATCCTGCCCACCAGGATCTCCCAAAGAGTAGAATCCCAGTCCCTGCTCCCCAGTATAAAAAAAAAACAAAACAAAAAAACAAACAAACAAAAACTGCTCTTTTCCCAGCCCCGGGGCAATGGGGGAAAAAAGGGGGGGGCGATTAGGGCCACTGTTAAATGCATGGATGAAGACATTTAAACAGTGGCACTTGACTCCCTAAAAAACAGTCTCCCTTTTTTCTTACCTCCCAGTGTAGTTCTGGCAACATGCCCAGCTAACAAGCTCGTCTCCCAAACTCGCTCACATGTTTAAGGTTGAATATTTTGGGGGGAAAATAAAGAAGAAGAAAAATCACCCTTTATTCTACTACCCAGAGACTATCACCTTCAGTATTCTGGTGCACTTACTTCTAGTCTTTTTGGGATTCATATGCAGTATAAACATTTTTTTTCTTAAGTGAAGAGTTTATCACTTTTTAAAATATATTTTATTGATTTTTTTACAGAGAGGAAGGGAGAGGAATAGAGAGTTAGAAACATCGATGAGAGAGAATCATTGATCAGCTGCCTCTTGCACACCCCCTACTGGGGATGTGCCTGCAACCAACGTACATGCCCTTGCCCGGAATCGAACCCGGGACCCTTCAGTCCGCAGGCCGACGCTCTATCCACTGAGCCAAACTGGTCCCGGCATGTGTAAACATTTCTAAAAACCATATTATAGCCCGCCCCTATGTGGCTCAGTGGTTGAGTGTAGACCCATGAACCAAAAGGTCACTGGTTTGATTCTCAGTCAGGGCACATGCCCGGGTTGCAGGCTTCATCCCCAATAAGGGGACGTGCAGGAAGCAGCAGATCAATGATGTTTGTCTCTCATCAATGTTTCTGTCTCTCCATTTCTGTCCCATCCTCTCTCGCTCTAAAAATCAATAACATAATTTTTTTAAAAAATCATTCTATAGATACAATTCCATGCTGCCTTTTTCACCCAACATTGTGTCAGGGACTACTTCCTCCAGGCCCTGATGGCGTGAATATTTTGCTCCTTACCTGGGTCTACGGCAATTACAGTCTCTAGCTCTCTGATCTTCTGCACGGCCGAAGAGGATGCGATGCTGTAGTGCAAAGGATCTTGGGAAACGAGATGGACCTCTGGAATTCCTTCTGGGGTGAGACAACTGGCCGGGGCCTCCAAATCCTTCAGGTCAGCCATAACCGTGGAGCCCGGGGCGCTGGTGAAAGCCAGCGGGGTCTCTGAAACACACGGCAAGAGGGATGAGCCCACCCCACTTCATCAAGCCCAGTGCATTCTGGTCTCGCCTGCCACTGAGGGACAAGAGAGCGCCATGCCCCTCCTCTCCCAACCGCACTCCTTGCCCCGCTGGCTGGCACTATAGGCTGGCTTATGGCTAAATAAGTTCCGGTAAGCAGGCACCTCCACATCCTAGGAACGTGAGGATGAGGTGAGTGTGGGAGAAGAAGTGAAGTACAGCCACAGCTACAGGGGGGCCCGAGAGCTCCATCAATGGAACCCACGGACATCAGAAAGGCTTTCTGAACATCCACCACTTCACTCCCTTTGCAGCAAATGCTCTGTTTGCCAACAAACAGCTCTCTCTGAACGTAGCTTCTGTTTTTCTCCGAGCACTTATATTTTGCTTTGGTTTAGGCTTGTGGTCGGCAAACTGCGGCTCTCCAGCTACATGGCCCGTTGAGTGTGGCTCTTCCACAAAATACCACGACCTGCGAGTCTATCTTGAAGAAGTGGCGTTAGAAGAAGTTGAAGTTTAAAACATGTGGCTCTCAAAAGAAATTTCAATCGTTGTACTGTTGCTATTTGGCTCTGTTGACTCATGAGTTTGCCGACCACTGGTTTAAGCTAATTTTGTTCTTGGGAAAACTCTCTCCTGCTAGCTGACAGCAATGTGAGGCACTCCAGCGGAATCACTAAGAACATGACTTAGCATGTCCAACTGCAGATGCAACTTTATACTCTCCAAACCTGCATCCGCAACGATAAGACAATGATAACGCTGAGACAGGATGGGGGAGGGGCCTAAGACCTGGCCTGGCACATAGTAGTGCCCAATATATCCATGTTAAATAGCCAGAACTCCATGCCTCACCAGCATATTAGAGATGCCTTTTCCTACCATGAGGCCGTTCTGATAGCGAAACTCCCATGAATGCTTTCAAATAAAGGCAAAGTGATGCTCAGTTCTACCATTGGTGGTGCGCTTGTGGCAGGCACTAGAATTTTCCAGTGTCTACAACAAAGGGTGGCAATGGTTATATTTTTACGTTTCGCTCACATCCCACCCTCGCTGTGAGCTAAATGGGGCCCTCGTGTGGCTCTTCATTGTAATATCATCCTGGGCCTTGGGAAAAAAATGTACTGACAGTGTTGCTTGCAAACACCACATGAAGTGGGTTTGTTTAGTCATGCTGTCTGTTTTCACCGTTGCTTTCAAAACCTCCAAAACGTTTCAAAAAGTCAACCTAAATGATGGCCCTGGAACTATCTACGAGCCTTCTTGGGAGAGAAATATATTGAATCAAGAGGATTTGAACTGAAGGACAAGCTGCTCTGGCGGGATTGAAAAATAAAAAAAAAAAAAAAAAAAAAATTAAAAGCCAGAGATATCTCCGCTGTGGGCTGCAGGCCTGTCACATGACTTCACTCCTTAAGTCTCTGCACTGTGGGCCCATCCTTTCGGAAACTACAGACCACCAGGTTCCACCCGAGGCCCGAGCAGCTGCCCGCGGAAGCCGGACGTACGGGAGCCGCTGACAGCTTCGAGACTGGTCAGCTGGGAAGGCCAGAACACCAGGACCTCCCCCGGCGGGCACAGCACCGGGTCCCCGTAGTCCGGTCTGGAAAGGTCTCGGATTCCCAGCAGCTCTGCGGAGGGAAAAGGTACGTGAATTCCACCAGGGCTTGCCCTGGCAAGCGACTACTGGAGTTGAACTTGTGGAGATGTGCATGGTTCTTTCCCCAAGAGGAACTCTACCCACAGGATTGCTGCAGGTGGAACTGGAGAAGGGTGCGGAGCAGAAGAGGAATCGGGCGTAGCAACTCAGGATGCTTGCTGACTTCTGGGCCCCTCGGAGGGGGCCTGCTGTGACGGCCAGAGGCGGCGCGGGGACATCAGCCCAACACCCGCACTGTACAGACTGCCAACAAAGCCAGGGTCTTTGAGTTTATCTCGGCACAGACTGAGCCACCGACCGCAGACCTAAACCCTGCCGGCAGGGGGTGGCATGGGCTGATGGCATTGTCACAGAATGCCGGGCTGTGTCTGACTTGGTTACACAGCCGAGCGAGTTCAATGACATTAACGCTCACTCGCACCCAAGGCCCGGTCCCAAGTCCCGTGTCTTCCCCCCCTCTCCCCTCCCCCCCGCTCCAGGCCCTCTGAGAGCCTCTGAGAGGCCGGGGCGGCCTCCACGCCTGGATCTGCTCACTCACTCTCAGGGGTGTTTCCTCGTTCTCAGACTGAGTTCAGATGCTGGGGATCAATGGGTTTCAGCTCACGTGGACCTTTGGAAGGAAGCTGTGTCCTAGCCCCATGGTCGGCAAACTGCGGCTCGAGAGCCACATGCGGCTCTTTGGCCCCTTGAGTATGGCTCTTCCACAAAATATTATGGCCTGGACAAGTCTATTTTGAAGAAGTGACGTTTTAAAAAATGTGGCTCTCCAAAGCAATCTCAATCGTTGTACTGTTGATATTTGGCTCTGTGGACTAATGAGTTTGCCGACCACTGGTCTAGCCAAGTATACCGCTGAATGACAACCGAGGTTCGAGGGGGCGCTGAGCTCAAGTCTCCAGACAAATCGCTCAGCTGCCACACTCCACCACCTGCTGCCCCCGCCCCAGGTCCACCTGAGGGTCACAGGAGCGGTTCTGCCGGGGGCAGCCCCTTTAACCCGAGGGGCACCTGCAAACCCAGCTCAGCTAACGCAGCTGCGGGGGCTCAGGAACAAAGCCCGTTCCCATCTTCTCGGGCCGAGAGCAGATGTCAGAGTCACAAGCGAGCCTGGCCACTCACCTGGGTCGCCGATGTGCACGGGCTGTCCTTGCTCCCCCAGCAGGGAGCAGCTGGCCTGCACCAGCCTCTGCAGCGCGTCCTTGGGGACGGGCCTCATGGTGACCACCAGAGGGCAGCAAAAGCCAGCAACGGTGGCGCAAGGCACTGTTGTCTGCCAAGAAATCAAGTTTAAAAAAAAAAAAAAAAAAAGTTAAAAAATAGAATCAGCACAGAACGGAGCTCTGAGTACTGAGAGTTCAAGGCAGGGAACGAGGTAGGTAGGAGGTCCCTGGAGCGCTTATACAAATATAGCTCCTGCCCCCATGCGGCATCCAGATGAAGACGTTTGCTGGGGATTATTGGTCTGAGACGGAGAATCTTAACTTTGTGGGTGCCGTGGGCCCTCTTGGTAGACTGGCAAGCTCAGGAGGCCCCTCAAAGTGGTGCTTTAGACCACAGGAAAGGAAGTACATGGCATTGGAAGGGAAACCAATCATGCTGTAATCGCAGTTACCAAATGATGAAAACATGTGACCCAGCCACCTGTGTGTCTCCGCATTAACAGATTAAGGAGCAAGCAAGACGACAGACATGCTAGGATGACTTTGAGTTTGTGATTGGCACACAGGCTGATCCTGAGGTCTCTGGAAGACCAGGGGTGTAACGATTGAAATGCGGTTTGTCGCCTGCATAATCGAAGGCCGCGCTCAAGGTCAGTTTGAGGCTCCGAAAATACTAGTAAAAATATGATTTTTCTTTCCATCCAATTCCATGGAATCCTCTGAATGTTAGGACAGATGTGGGCATGGCCAGGATGTCGTCTGCTGGAACCGTCCTGGTGGCCGACTAAAGGGTTTGCTGTTAGCCCTGGACAGCAGGCAGATGAACCTTTGGGAACCTGCTGAATAGCAGCACCCGGGGAGGGCACAGGCCAGGGACCCTCTCAGGAGGCGGGCAGCGATCCCCGAGGGGTGCCCTTCACTCCTCGAGGCCACCAACTGACTCGCGTCTCCCAGGAGCCAATTGCAGAGGTGTCAGCATTATATCAAAAGCCCTTTGGTAGCCACTGGGGCAGTGAGTGTCGGAGAGAGACCATGGCTCAGCATGCTCTCCTCAGCACACACTCCGCACCTTTCATGGCCCCTCCCCTCCCCCCGGCACGTTACCTTTTCCCTTCTCTCTCCCAGCCCCAAGCCCTGCTTTTGCCTCTGTCCCTTGCTCCCTGAGCCCGTGTCTTCTGCGGCTCACTTTCTCTGACAGTTGGGAGTCTTGGCTCTGAATTCTTTCTCAGCCAGAAGCCGGGCACCCGGGTTGCCGAACCCAGGTCCCGTCTGACGCCGCCCGGCGAACATCTGGTGCTGTTCTTGCCGCCAACACAGTGACTCAGCTCTGCTGCTGCAGCACGAGGCCGCCGCAGACAGCGGGCAAATAGAAGAAAAAGAACAAGGAGAAAACCGTGGCTCTGCTGAGCACGGCCTGGCAGAGAGGAGCGCCCCGCAAAGCATCGGCCGACGGCCACCTCCACTGTCGGCTTCGTACACACGGGAGCCGGGAGGCCCGGGCTCCCATCTGGCTGACAAACGCATCGGTCCACAGAGCCAAACATCAACAGTTCAACGATTGACATTTCTTTGGAGAGCCACATTTTTTTAAAATTTAAACTTCTTCTAACACCACTTCTTCAAAATAGGCTCGCCCCAGGCCGTGGTATTTTGTGGAAGAGCCACACTCAAGGGGCCAAAGAGCCGCAGGTGGCTCTCGAGCCGCAGTTTGCCAACCACTGGGGTAGGGGCCCTGGGAAAGTCCCCTTTTCTCGCCAGGCCTCAGTTTCCTCATCCAACATGAAAGGCCGCGGGTGACGGGCCCCTAGGTCCTTCCAGCTCTTACCTGCAACTGGGGGGGGGGTGTTCTGGGGCCAAACCCTGCCTGGGCCCTGCCAGTCCCGGAGGCTCTGTCCCACCCTTCCCTACTTCCAAGAAAACTGCAAAGGTGCCTATTTCATGGGTGCAGAGCAGCTGGCATGGTGGGCAGCCTTGTCTGTTGTCAGAGGTGGCGCGGGCCTCCCTGGCAGGGGCCCAAACCAGCAAGCCTTCAGCTCAAGGGGAAACCTCCCCAGACTGAGTGTTCCGTGAAGGGCCCCTGGCAGGCCGTGGACGCTGGCTGACCACCGGCCCGGCGCGGTTCCTTCTCGGACCTCACACCGTGTCCCAGGGTGGTCAGTGGAAAGAGGGAGTCTGGTTCCTTCCCCAGGGCAAGTGGTGGCTGGATCGAGACCTTGGAGACACGGCAGAGGGAGAGGGGACCACCCTGCGTGTGTGGCCGCCGGCGGCCGCCTCTGGCCCAGAGCGTGACCCCGCTTCCTGACCGAGGCGGCGAATGGCCCGGCCGAGGCTCCGCCACGAATCCCCGGCATTTACCCAGCCGGGCCCATCCTCACAGATGCCAGGATGAGCGAGCCGGGGAGGGTTTTCAAAAATCCCACCGAGCTGCCCTAAGTTCAAGAAGCCAGACAGCCCTCGCCGCTTTGGCTCAGTGGTTAGACTGTCCGCCAGTGGACTGCAGGGGTCGAAGGTTTGATTCTGGTCAAGGGCATGTAGCTCGGTGTGCAGCCTTGAACCCTAGCCCCTGTTAGGGTGCACGCGGGAGGCAACCGATCAATGTGTCTCTCTCAATGGATGTTTCTTTCTCTCTGTCTCCTGCCCCCTCGCTCTAAAAAAATCCATGGAAAAATATCCTGGGGTGAGGTTAACAACAACAACAACAACGAAGAAACCAGACAAATTCCAGGCGGGTTTGGTTCACGCAGCCGCAGCCATCTGTCTGAAAGGGCTGGGTCCACACCGCAGGCCGCGCTGGGTGCCCGCGGCGGCCGGGGAGTGGGCAGGAGAGCGCCCCACTCGCTCATGGAGCTTAACGGCCGCAAGAGTGGCCACTGAGCCAGAGCCGGGGCTGAGGTCTCTGGGCTCCTGAGCCGATGCTCTCCCATCGCAGGACCATGCAGGGCGACCCACATGGTCACGCCGTTCTGCCCCTGTGGACGGTGACCCTACCTTGTATGCGCCCGCGAGGCCGTGGCCCGGAGGGTCTCTTCTGGGGAGCCCCGCCTTCTCCCAGGCCCCCTCCAGGGGGGCGCTGCAGCCCAGGAAGAAGGCCACCATGTCCCCAAGCTGCTCCGAGTGCTCCTCCAGCGAGGCCAGGCTGCCGGTGTAGGTGCCAAACTCGTACCTGCGGAACTGGGGGCGGTCCGTCCTGGGGACACAAGGGGGAGTTCGCAGACCTCGGGCCCCACATGGGCGTGGACCGGGCATTTTTCAAAAGGACCAGGGCGGTGGGGCGTTTACTACTATGGAACACTATGCAGCTGTAAACAAGAAGGTCTCCTATTCTTTGGGACAGCATGGACGGACCTGGAGAGTATTTTGCTAAGTGAATATGTATGTCAGTCTGAGAAAGACAAATATCACAGGATCTCACTTATTTGTGGAATCTGATGGACAAAATGACTTAGCCAACTACATAAGTCCCAAAGCGGGGAGGCATGGGACAGACTGACATACCTCGATGTGGGGTTGGGTGGATGAGAAGAGATAAACCAAAGAACTTATATATTTATATCCATGGACATAGGCAATAGGGTAGTGAAGACCTGTGTGTGGGGGGGGGGGGCGGGGGGGATAAGTAGGGACTAGGAGGAGGGGGGAAGGGGAGAAAATGGGAGATATCTGTAATACTATCAACAATAAAAATACATAAAAAATAATAAATATAAAGGACCAGGGAGAGGGGCTGAAATTTCTGGCACTGGCACTGGGGTAGCAATGTGATCTTGAGCAAGGGGGCTTGCTGGCATTTTTCAGATTTTGCCAGATGGGAAACGATTAAGTCAGCACGTATATAATATATACTATAGCCCCCCACCCCACCTCCCTGCATCCTGTTATAGTTTCTGTAACCTTACCCAAGAACAACCCAATCAGCAAGAAAACACACACACACACACAATAGTTGCCCCGCTGGTGTTGCTCAGTCGAGAAGCTGGACAGAGGTCCCTGGTGACAGGCGCCTGGCTGCAGCATCCGGCCCCCACCACCTTTAACCCCGCTAACCCACGCACTTTACCTGGTGCCCGAGACGGTGCCCAGGGCAGTCAAAGCCCACGTGCCTGGCTCGCTGCGGCCCAGCAGGGGCAGAGGGCCCCGGTTGGCCCTGCAGAACGTCTCGAAGGCCGGGGCGAGGGCCCTGGGCAGGACCACCACGCTGGCTGCTCGGGGCCCTGGGTTTGGGGAGAGAAAGAACACACACAGTCAGGTGCTTCTCGGGAGAGCTTCTTAGTGTAGCATTCTACTGCAGCTAGCGCACACACACACACACACACACACACACAGAAAAGTGCATGTGTATGTATGGCCCAATGGTCTCAGGGAAGGAACACACCCACGGAACCAGCATCCAGGGGAAGAAACCAAACACAACGAGCATCCCAGAGCCCCTGGCTCCCCTTTCAGGCATCTCACACCCTCCCCTCTGCAGGGGCAGCCACTGCCCTCACCTCTAACAGCACACACTGCCTTTGCCTCTTTGTCATAATACAACGTTCTCCCTGGGGTCCAGGTGCTCTCATTCAACAGCATGTTTGGGGGAACCACCCTACTGCTGGGTTTAACCGTAGCCGGTGCGTTCTCATGGCTGCGTGGAGCATTCACCACCACAGTATCTACCGCTCACCACTGCCGACGGGCATCTGAATGGCTTCCAGGGTGGCCTTGTTGCGGACGGTGCAGTCACGCGCATTTGACCACGTGCACTTTGGGGTTACGCATGTGCGTACTCCTGCGTGGCATAGGCAGTGTACGTACACATTCGGCTTTGGTACACACAGCTGAGCAGATCCAAAGTGTACATGCACAGTGTGTGGGTTCCTGGCGGTGCCATAATCTCTCCCACACTCCGTGTTCCTGGGTTTTCCCTCCCGGGCGCCCCCGGCGGGTATGCGGAGGCCTCGCACCAGGTGTTTGCATCGCCCCGGTGAGGAGCGTGAGGGAGGTCTTTTCAGAGGCCATTGGCCAGGGGGATGTCTTTTCCGGGGAAGAGACTGTCCGTGTGTTTTATCTGGGCAGATTCTCGGCTGGGCAGCTCGCAGAGCCCTTGACGCTCCCTCCAGAGACGTCTCAGTGGAGCTGCAGAGGAAGAGCCCCCTCTTGCCTGCCCCGACCCCGCTGGTGGCAGCCAGCCCTCCGCTAGGATGAGAAGGCCCCTGGCTTTGGAGGCAAGCACAGCGGGGCTTGGATCCTGAGTCGGCCTCTGACTCAGTTTCCCACGGATAACACGGCGGGCAGCTACCAACCTCACCGAGAACTCTGCGCGCTCATCCTGTGTGTCAAGTACCCAGCATACCGGTGCTTAGGAAGGAGGGTGGAGTCACACTCAGTGGACTCTTGTACCGACGCTTGAAGTTATGATACAGAAGAAATAGTTTAGGATAGTAAGAGATGTTTGGGCTGCATCATGAAAGGAGTAACACTAGGTAACAAAAGGAGGTTCAGCATATTCCCCTCTATCAAAAGCCGATGAGAGCCTTAGCCGGGTGGCTGGGTTGGAGTGTTGTCCCATACACCAAATGCTGCATGTTCGATTCCTGGTCAGGGCAGATACCTAAGTTTCGGGTTTAATCCCTGGTCAGAGGCAACCAATCAATATTTCTCTCTCATATCAATGCTTCTATCTGTCTGTCTCTCTCTCCTCCCTTCCTTCCTTTCTCTTTAAAACCAATAAAAACATCCCCTTGGATAAGAATTAGAAAATAAAAATAAATCGATGAGAGAGAGAAAGAACTAAAAAAAAAAAAATACATCCACATGCTGATCATATTCTAAACTTTATGCAATAATTCGGAATCATTCTATAACTGAAGAGGAAAAAAAACCACAAAGAAAAAAGTTATATATTTTTTAAAGGTTATTTTCTTTAAAAAGACCATCCAAAGAAAAACATGATTATGCTCTTTTTGCGGAATAAACCTTGGGCACAATCCTCCTTCACGCCAGACTTGCTCTCTCATCATGTGGACGTTTCTTTTCCGCAATAATATTGTCAGCTAATGTTTTCTGTGTGCTCAGCATGTGCCAAGCTGTCTGTGCCAAGCCATTTATCTATGCCATCATCTGTACCCAGGAGGAGAATAAGGCTCAGAGAGGTGGAGTGAATTTCCCAGGGTTGCACAGCTGGTGCATGGCACAGCCAGGATGCAGACCTGAGACAGGTGGCCCCGTGAGTCCCCGCAGGCCCCCGGCCTCACCAGGCTGGGTCCACCCCCACCTCCAGCACTTCCCTTCTTGGGGATGGTGAAGAGAAACAGATGCCGAGTGTCTGCGGGGAAGAGTCTAGGACTGGCTCCTGCTTTGACTGCCTGGATCTAACTCCTGATCGCGAATGCTCAGTGCCTGCCAACGCCACAGACAGACTTCCAAAATGAGGACAAACCGGACGCTGCCAGCTGCTGAAGCATGCCTCCAGCAAGCCCAGCGAGCCTCCAAAAATAAGCTGGAGTGAGGGGGAAGGGAACCGGGCCGGCCAGAGGCCTTGCATTCCCCGGCCACCCCCCTCTTACCTCCAAAGCCGTTGTGAGAGCAAACTGGACCTTTAAGACTAACTCAGGGGGGTAGGATGCGCACCAAGCTTCCTTGTTTACTCTTTAACTAAACGGACTTCAGAGGCACTGCGTTTTGGTTTTGTTCATCTCCCCTCTGGCCATGGAGAGTCCCCATTAGCAACAGGACGTGGAACAGAGGGCTGAGTGGTGCCTTTTTGAGGGGGACCCACGAGGGGAAGGGTCTTTATGGTCTGACGGGGTCCCTGCACCCCCTAAGTTATGAAATTTCACTGGGACTGGGATCAATGACAATGACTTGGACATGTTTTCTCTTGCAGGAGCTTTTAGAGCCTAGGGTATCACTCCAGAGAGACTGTGGGGAGGTGGGTACCACACGGGGAAGATCAGACCAAGGCAGGGAGAGACCTGGTCCAAATTCGAACCAGATTAACATAGCTGGGGGCACTTTTCCAGAAGGGAAACCCTCTCATCATCCCAGGCCGCCGATGGTTCTGCCTACGGAGTTGTGGCAACCAAGCAGAACCACGTGATGCTAGGCATACCCGTGGACAGGTATTCACATCAGAGCCTGGCCCACGTGCCCCTCTGCTGGGAAGCTAACTAGCAATCAGAGCTGACAGCATTCTGTCTCCCGTGCATTGCTGGGCATCTCTGGCATTCCTTTGCCCTGCACAACTGGTATCTCCAAAATTTCACAGCCAAGGGAATACTCTCTCTTTTTATTAATTTTAATTTTTTAAAATATATTTTTATTGACTTCAGAGAGAAGGAGAGAGGGAGTGAGAGATAGAAACATCAATGATAAGAATCATTGATGAGCTGCCTTCTGCACACCCCCCACTGGGGATCAAGCTGGCAACCTGGGCATGTGCCCTGACTATGAATCAAATCGTGACTTCCTGGTTCATAGGTCAACATTCAACCACTGAGCCACACAGACTGGGCTTTTTCTCTTTTTAAAACGTCTAGCACCACTCACCCCCAATCGTGCTGGACATGCTTCTGATGTTTGGTTTCTTTTGTAGAATCAAACTCCTTATGGCAGCAAGAGGGCAGGCTTTCAGGTGGAGTATGAAGGTCATCGTGAAGGTCATAGGGCCATCCTTCAATGGGCCGCAGAGAGTCTGGATGGGGGGATGAAGGGGAACAGATGAGAAAGCACAGCTCCCTTGAAGGCAGCAAATTCCCCATCAGATACCCCATCCCGTCCAGGCCTGGCTGCTCTTGGACCAGCCCTGGGATGTGTATCAATTGGAGCAATTTCTTGTCCCTCCCTCACCCCTTTCCTGACTCAGTCTCTAGAAGTTCCTAACACTTCAAGACCTTTGCTCATGCTCTTCCCTTGGCCAGGAATGCCCTCCCTCCCTCTCAGAAGGTCTTCCCATCTCTCACAACTGCCTCAGAATCTTACACCTTTAGGAAGAAGCCAAGAGGTGTGCACTGGTTCATGCTGGGCTCCTGGGCCCTCAGAACTTTCTGGGGCCTCAACTGCAGTTGGCCTGATTCTACTTGACTTGGAACCCCTATCCCTCCCCCAGGGAGACCCCAAGTGCCTAGGCCTCTTCTGCAGGTCCCAGAGGGCCAACCACAGCCTAAGCACACAGTAACAACCAAAACGCTTATGACCCAACGAACAAATGAATGAGTGGCGATCACAAATGAATCAGCAGGCTGAATTTTCTGTCTACATGTGGCCTCTTATCGGTTAGACTTAGGGGCCCTACAAGGCAAAGATTTTATGTTTTCTTCTTTATAACTCCTTACTGCCATTACCCTGGACACAGTGCCTGACACAGAGTTTTGGTGAATGAATGAACACAGGGGTGGGAAAAAATAGGTTTTCAGTTATGAGTATGTTTATTATTATTGAATTATTATTATTTATTAATGAACTAGAGGCCCGGTGCATGAAAATTCATGCCCTGGAGCAGCGAGGTCCCTCAGCCCAGCCTGCCCCCTCTCACAGCCCGGGAGCCCTCAGAGGTAGGAGGCGACCTGGGATCAGGGGAAGGTGACACACACATTACACCTCTGCTGCTGTTGCCACTGCCTGCAGTGCAAGCCTCGGCCAGCCCTGGTTACCGGAGCCTCAGGTGGCCCTGGGCAGCTGGGAAGCCACCATCTGGGACTTGTCTGTGCCTAGGGCCAGCCCTGGGCAGCTAGAAGGCTGAGAGGACTGGGCGCCACCATCTTGTGGCTGTGGGTGCCGCCATCTTTTGAGGGTGTGACAGTCAATTAGCATATCCCCTTCTTATTGGCTGTGGGCACCACCATCTTTGCGATAGCATGAGAGTCAATTAGCATATTCTCTCTTTATTAGATAGGATATATTATTTATTTGTGTTACAACTGTAATACAAATATAATTTTTAAGATATAGAGATGGTCTCAAAGCTCCAGGAGATTACATTTAGGAAAGAATATCATCAGTTGACATATAACCTAGAAAAAGAGGCTTCAATGTGTTAGCAAAATCGAGGTCACATTGTGCTGGCTTCCAAGGCACAGCCCATGTCTTCTTCACCCAAACAGACCCGGTGCCTCGCTAGTGCCTGGCACAGAAGTGGGAGTTCAGTAAGTGTTGAATAGGTAGAAGCACAAAGGCAGTGTCTGTAGGGGAGGCTCTGGACAAGCCTGGCTTTCCACAACTCTTTCTGTCTAAAAGAGGAGACCCCGATGGGATTCTAAACCACCAATGTACGTTTTCAACTCTAATATCAGTGATAGAAAATTATGTAACCACCATGGCCATTTGATGAAGACTTTGAGATGGTATAAAATCTCTAGCAAACAGAAATGTAAAGACAGTGCTCTGGAAGAGGTAGAGATGTATTTAAGATCGACAGCGAATGCTTTAATAGCTGCAGGAACTGAGCGCTGTGGACACACCAGGAGAGAACAGTGGAGGGTCAGGTGAGGTTAGGTTCCATGCCCCGGTGGAGATGCCGAGGCTAAAGCAGCTGCTTTGGCAAGTGAAGCCTGAGCTTGCTGGCTGGACTGACAGAGCCCGCCTGGGCCCGGCAGACATTGCTTTTGGGCCAAACAGCCGGGACACCGGCTAAGGTCTTGGGTGTCTGTGGCTCCCCATGGTCACTGCAGAGGGCTTAACACCTCAGCCAGGCACTCAGCAAAGGTCCAAGACAGAACCATTGACTACCCATGTGGGAACAGTGGCCATACCCTCTAACAACTGTTATTATTATTGAATTATTATTATTTATTAATGAACTAGAGGCCCGGTGCATGAAAATTCATGCACTGGAGCAGCAAGGTCCCTCAGCCCAGGGACCTTACTGCATATCTGAAGAAAAGAATGATGTTTACCCAAACCCAATCAAAGGAGAGACCCCCCAACATGTACCTGTTAGCCTTCACACCCCATTATATTTTTATTTTTAATATATTGTTATTGATTTCAGAGAGGAAGGGAGAGGGAGAGAGACATAAAAGCATCAAGGATGAGAGAGAAAAATTGATCAGCTGCCTCATGCATGACCCCTACTGGGGATCCAGTCTGCAAGCCAGGCATGTGCCCTTGACTGGAATCGAACCTAGGACCCTACAGTCCACAGGCTGACGCTCTATCCACTGAGCCAAACTAGGTAGGGCTTCACCCCCCATTATTACTGGATAGGATGTCAGGTACAAGCTTGGGGCTGTTTTGCAAATAAATTGTAGCCAGAAACCAAACTCTTAAGATGACTGCCTTCCCTTTGCTTTATTTATTTATTGTTTTAATATAAATTCAAGTGGATCTAAGTCATTCCTGTTACTTTCCTGGCCTGGAGATAAATGAGTGCAGCAAGGACTCCTGCCCTGTGAAATGCATGCTGGGAGTGTGCCAGGCACCTGAATGTCACCACATGTGTGCTGGGAGGGAACAACCGCTGAGAACCCCTCCCTCATGGAGTCGTTCCCTTGAAGGCAGCGGTCAAACAGTGAATGACCTGCATTGGCTCCTGCAAAGAAGTGGCCTCATATACCAACCAGAGAATGCCCAGTCATATACGAAACTATACAACCCCCACCATGTGTGGGAATTCGCTGTGTGCCAGGCCCTTTACCCTCAATAGTTTATAACCATTGGTTCTTCACCCCACCCCCACCCAAAGAAGACATTATTAATACTATTTAGACAAGAAAGGTGGGGTTCAGGGAGATCAAAGTAGTTACCTGAAGTCCCATAACTAGTATGTGGTAGAGTCCAAATCCAAAAGCAAGTCTAAATTCATGCCTGCCTGGTCAATATCTACCTATCCACCCACCACTCAAACCATCCATCCATCCATCCATCCATCCATCCATCCATCCATCCACCACTCACCCACCCATCCATCCATCCTTCTATCCATCGTGTGATGTTAATGGGAATGACATCCTCAGTAGGAACAATGGGGATCAGCCCTCCCCCCCCACCCTAGATGATTCTGAGACCAGAGTCTCTTGAGCCCTTATGTTTCTTTGGGACTGAACCTTGAACTTCTAGGCTTTCCACCAGGGTCTCAAAGTGCACTCACTGCTGACTGGTACTGAGTGGCCCATGCCTCAGGGCCCAGTGAGGTCTCACTCTAGAAGTGAGATAGGATGGGGAGATCTCACTGGGGAGCCTTGGTTAGACTTCAAGAAGTCACTTTTCTGCTGCAAATTCTTTATCTTCTCTTTAGAGAATAACAAACCATCAAATCCACAGATACCATTCCCTAGCATCAAGTACACCAGAGAGGGGGCCCACAAAGATCAGCTCCTCAGCAGGATCTGACACATCCCAAGTTCAGGGTCAAAGTATCTGCCCTATGTCTATCACAGATGCCTGAAACTCCACCCTTAGGAAGTCATTCCTCTGCTTTACCCAAGCAATCCAGTCCAATCCAATCCAATCTAGTCCAATCCAGTCCAATCCAATCTAGTCCAATCCAATCTAGTCCAATCCAATCCAATCCAATCCAATCCAATCCAATCCAATCCAATCCAGTCCAATCCAATCTAGTCCAATCCAATTCAATCCAATCCAATCCAGTCCAATCCAATCCAATCTAGTCCAGTCCAATCCAATCTAATCCAGTCCAATCCAATCCAATCCAGTCCAATCCAATCCAATCTAATCCAGTCCAATCCAATCCAGTCCAATCCAATCCAGTCCAATCCAATCCAATCCAGTCCAATCCAATCCAGTCCAATCCAATCTAGTCCAATCCAATCCAATCCAATCCAATCCAATCCAGTACAATCCAATCCAATCCAGTCCAGTCCAATCCAATCTAGTCCAATCCAATCCAATCCAATCCAGTCCAGTCCAGTCCAATCCAATCCAATCCAGTCCAATCCAATCCAATCCAGTCTAGTCCAGTCCAATCCAGTCCAATCCAGTCCAGTCCAGTCCAATCCAGTCTAATCCAATCTAATCCAATCCAGTCCAATTCTGGAGGAATGCATCTTCCAGGTGTGCTCAAACAGTGGGCTGAATGCAAGCCCATGGTGGCGCTGTTTGTAATACAAGCCACATAGAAACAACCTAACAAAGGTTGATTATATGATAGTTAAAAGAGGTGTAGCTACACTATAGTACATCCATACCATACACTCCCAAGCTCCCTCAGACAGCATTCCCACCCTTGCTAAGATAGCAATCACTATGTTAACCTTGTGAAGGCACAGCCCAGCAACCATGCATGCATTCAGCAGGCATTGTGGCACCAAGTACAGGTTTGGGAGCAGACTGTCTGAGTTCTAATCCTGTCCCTGCACTTAGGAGGGGGTCATGAACCCCTCTGGGCCTATTTTCTCAACTGTAAACAGGACCTAATCACAGTATGCACTTCCTGGGATTGCGGTGGGATGAAATTAGCTAACACATGTGAGGTTCTCAGAACAACTCCGGGCTGGGCCACGGAAGCACTGCTCTCATGTGTGTTACTCCCGCCCAGGGCGCTGCAGACACCATGGGGAGAGGACAGCCACAGCCCACTCTCACGGAGGTTTGCCTCCCTGGAGACAGACCTTAACCACATAATTAGCATTGTGTCTGTCTCCCGGGGAGAGACAGCCAAGTAAATGGGTGACTCTGATACCATGTCTGAGAGGA